CGATCTCCTGGTGTCGCTGTCACACAAGTGTCAAGCCTCTACGACCAACAGATCAACACTCTTCTTCTACCCGTGGCACGAAGGATCTCTCACTATTAACCGCCACTTTGCGCCAACTTATATTTACTGTCTACGCACAACTTGCTTCTACTGCATTTTTTTCTTCCTCTGCATGGACTATTTTTGTCGCATGCCGATCTCCTGGTGTCGCTGTCACGCAAGAGTCAAAGTTCTACGATCAACAGATCAACAACCACCAGCGGGCACGGAAAGTTCCCTTCATATACCGATGGCGGCGTTGGGGTCTTACTGGATGCTGATAGGGGGCTGATAGGAGGACCCTAGCCCTTCTGTTCTCCTCTCTCGGCCTTCACTAAGTGAAATCGACCAAACTAAATGTGCTGCACATCGTGGTGCCGGACAACTCTCTAAAGCTGAGCCATCCAGTGTCCTCCCCTTAACTATAACAAGCAAACATATTCCTAAGGTCTCTAGCAACTCTAAGGAGCTTGCCTCAAACCCTCTAACGTAGTCTCTCTTAGAACATACACCTGCGTGCCTGTCACACCACACCCGAATCCCACACTGATACCCACACCTGCTCCAGCACATTCCTTTTGGTTCTTCCGCTGCCCATACGCTTCCTTTCTCCATACTCTTCTTATTCACCACCTACTCCCCCCATACCTCTCCCCAACGCATATCCAGTCTCCCCATAATTCGCCACTGCTTTACCTAATACCTTACAAACCACGCCACTTGCACTCTTGAACGTTTCTTGAAAAATACCATATAATAATTCCTAGTCTATCTATAGACAATATGTAAAATGAAATAAAAACCAATAAACAAGATCTACCTTCGTCATTAACCAATCCAGAGACCGCACGCCGTGCTCTGATTCATTGTTTCTCGCCGCTTGAGCCTACAGCTCTGTTCTCTCATCACTGTCTTTCGACCCAGTGGTACTCACCACTGGAGTAGTCGCTGATGGCTATAGGACCCATGGGAACATTTGCCCCACCAAACTCACCTATCCTCACAACCTCTGCATCAGACAATGGGTGGTGACGGTGGTCGGAAGATGATCCATACGACGATAAGACCCCATCATCGTACATTATGGAGGATTCTTCTGAAGACTGTGTGGACGATCCGGTGTTACCTGACTGGTAAAGAGACGAGATGAGGTCGTTCTCCGTCACATAGGAAGTTACACCCACGCCAACACCTCCTCCACCGTTACGTGATGTGAGAGGGGTGTTTTCATTATCTGGTGCAACTGCCGTTATCACCGACCTGGGGCCCTTGACGTTCTCATGAATGGTGCCCCCTACAACGTTCTTTTCCCGCAATAGCACTTCCACCATCTCACGATCACAGTTGGGGAAGTATACCCTCAACACGTTCTCGCGGGCCAAGTACTTTATGGGTAACTCGCCCAACTCTCCCAAGTTCATGAAATCCTGCTTTAACTCGTTGATTCGACGGGTTATGTATGTTAAGTTTGCGTTGATCTCACCAAGAATCTCGTCTGTCAAGAACGTCATCGAGGGGATCGATAAGTCCCCGCCAAGTGGGAAATCTACATAGCAGCCATTGATAATCGATTGCTGGTCCGTCAGATCGAGCGTCACGTTGTCAGACTGCTCGTCAGATATGGTGCTTTCGCCAATACCAAGCGTCTTGGCCGTATAATGAGGAGAAAGTGACTGGTTCAACCGAATGTCACTCCGTATGCTCCTGGACGACTTTCTTCTTGGCGTTTTGGACGGATGGTACTGATTTTCGTTCTCAGTCACGGGCTTGTATGCATTATCCAAGTTGAACAATGTCCTAAAGCTTATAGCCATGTTCTTGATGGTTTCCGAGGTGATCTGGATGGAAAAACCTGGGATGGGGCCGCCCAGCGCACACGTCGTGGTGAAGAGCCTGGAACTGGTTTGCGGGAATGCTGCCTTGTACAACCCCGAGAGGAAGAAGGCCTTACTTTGAATGACGTGATGGTGATTGATATAATGCAAGTTGTGCAGTCTGAATGCTGATATGTTCCATATGGAGTTAGCTAGCCTCGACTGGGCTCGCAAGGTGTTGTGGAACTGGGCGGCCGACGACGAATATTGCGGTCTGAAGAGCGCCTTGAGCACCCTGAACTGCCTGAACGCCTTGTACCTACTGAACGGGTTGAATGGATTCAAGGGGCTAAATTGCATCGTCCTTGCTACGTGTGACAACTTGGTGATCCTCAATACATAGCTGTACGAAGAAAATGGGTTGAAGGGATTGGTGGAGTACTGTCTTACGCCACCAATGGCTCTGCTGCTGACATTGGGCAACCGTACAGCTCTCTGGAATGGCGAACTACGGCCTGCTGCCTGTCTAACGGGGACTGGAATAGGTATAGGAGCGTTCTGGGCGCCGTGGCTACCCCCTAAAGCTTCAGCGAGCGCTTCAAGCGACCGTTTAAGGCTCTGCAGGGCCTGCTTTTGCAAGGAGATTAAGTTCCGAAGCATCTCGTTATCATACACGGGCCGACGTAGGGCCTACAATACAATAATGAGGTATGGGAAGAGGGTTGTATGGAAAGAAGAGGTGCACTTAAGGAGAGATCAATTATCCTTTTTCTCCCTGTTTTTTTTGTCATTACTTTGTCGCAAAAAAAAAAGAAATGCAGGAATAACAGACAAAAGAAAAAAGAAAAATAAAAAATAATGACAACGCTAATCAAAATAGTGTTTAGTTGCAGGAACGGATTGGGAGCTAGCGCTAGGAGCCGGCGCAGCGGGCCAGTGGGCAAAGCCCGCGAAATTGAGCGCATACATACTAAAGTGATTCTACAGTGACCAGATCACCCTCTTCTCCTACCTCATTATTGAATTGTGGGCCCTTCCTTTCCCTCTCCCTCTCCCTGTTGCCCTGATCACATGTGTAGTCAAAAATTAACCTTCTGCCAGAGTTGGTTTTTCCTGAGCGTCCTGCACACACTACGAGGCTGCGCCCATTGACCACAGTGGCCGCACGTATAGGGGGGTGGGGACAACACAGCGCACTCAAAGTACCAAGTTTAAGCTGTACTGAGCACTACAGAATAGGGGTCCACGCTTGAAATATGCGATGTGCTGGCACATAGGAGTTTCAAGACGCTTCCTATGGGTGTCACAATCCAACTTCCAGACTTTTTCTCAAGCGTCAACACCAAAACCGAGCATATTCCCGCTATCCGCTCGCTGGCACTGGGTGCAAATGTTCGGGAGCCACCTGAAAAATTATCACAACGTCTGGCTAAGCGCATTCTACATGAAATATGAATTCCGACCCATAATTGCATCGAAGACGCACGCTGATCTGCGACTCGGACCTGCAAGGAACACATGGTTGCAAAATTACAACGGACGATTGCAACCAGTCACCGGAGCTTCAGGTGCGCTCTGCTACATAACTATGGCACCCTACAGCGGTCAATTCTCTCTGGTATGCCATGTTGAACATAATACCGGACTGCGATTCCCTCTGCAATACCGCCGTCCCACACTACACTTTCCTCAATTCTCTCTACCTGGAATATCCTTATTAAAAACTATCTAAAATCATAAAACGAACTAAAAACTTAAGCTTACCTACTCAATGGTCACTGTATTCATATCTTCATCATTGGTGAATCATCCATAACCTCGTCAAAAATGGAATCATAGTTGGTGTCTATCGAATTTCGAATATACACCCCTAAATCGTCATTCTTGTCTACTATCTCCCCGTTTGAAAATTCAGGCGAACTACTGTTTATGTTACTCACAGGAAGCCCCCTCATATTCTTGTTTAATGAGTCCAATGATAGCAACGAAGATGGGGATGCAATTGAATTGGAAACTGTGGTCAGAAACTGTCTGGAATTGGATCCGCCGTCACTTTCTTGTTTTATTATCAGTGGAATAATAAATTCGTTGTTGTTGTTGTTGTTGCTGTTGTTAATATTGTTAATGTTGCTGCTGCTGCTATCGTGCTGCACTGTTATGTTGTTGAGTAAAAAGTCATCAATGATCTCTTGCTTGATTTTAGCTTTATCAAGGCTGGAATTGGCATAGTGCTCATGATGATCTGCATTGGATACTGATTCGTTAGACAAGCTGTCATCAGCCGAGAAAATTGAGTACGAAGGTGATTGCGCCAACGAAGCACAAGTATTACAGCTGTTATTTACACAGCATGAAGGTCTGGCTTGAGGGGAGGTACAGGCCGTTTGAGTTGCACTAGTTATAGGCGATGGGAACATTCGCGACAGCAATTGAGTCTGAGACTGAGACCGAGACTGAGCCCGAGATTGAGACTGAGACGATTGCGATTGCGATTGCGAATGCACCTGCAGCTCCAAATGTGGTACTTGCTGTTGGTGATCTTGCAGGTGACTGGTGTTTTGTAACATCGTGAAGTCACTTTTCTCAATTTTGATATCCTCCCTTTCCAAAACGTCTCTGTAGGGCTTCAACACCTTTTTGAACCTGGATTGGCTCACCAAATCATCCATATCGTATTCTTGAAACACATTCTCTGGTAACAAAAAATGTATAAGATTCTCCAACGTTTTCACCTTATTCTCGACTTGAGTTAAATGGGCTCTGGTCAACGGTGATCTGACCGCTCTTGGGGAATAAGAACAGCACCATCCGTGTTGGATGCACTTGCTACACTTTGGATACTCTTTTGAGCATTTCAATTTCCTTTTACGACATGAGTCGCACGCTTGTTCTATGCATGGATTGTAGTCCATTGACGAAGAGTTAGCCTTATCTGTCTTCATTCTAGGGGATTATTCTTGATCTTTTTGTTTTTCTTTGTATCGGTCTAAAAAGTAAATTAATTATTTGTCCAATTTGTCTAAAGGTACGTTGAAATAAATTGAATTGAAATTCTTGTAACGTTCTATTTTTCAATTCTTACACCGTACGGGACTTTAACTTTCTCTAATAAATATAAGTACTCCAGGTACCTTTCTCCTTTTCGAAATTTTTTATCCCTTGAATATCGTTATATACAATTAGTCGATGATTGACTGGACTAATTAATTTTTTCTTATGTTTGCTTTTTAGAAGCTTATGCAGTTTCTTCTATTCACTTTAACAAGGGATCGCAACAATTTTTAGGAACCGGCGGGAACTTAGATAAGCAGCGGCCAACGAAAAAAAGCGAAGTAAAGTTTACAAAAAATAAAATAAATTGGATGGTGGTACGAAAGGGTCTAAACTCTGTGTAGATAAACCAACCTTAATTCGCCGAACGACTTCAATTACAGATAGTAAGAGTAAATAGAAGGAAAAGAAGAGAAAGAAGAAGAAGAAGAAGAAGTAGAAATAAAAACCAAGCACAGGAAACGGACGAACAAGTCCAAACAAAATACTCAAAAAAAAAAAGAAAAAAAGAAAAAAAAAGAATTGTCTCAAACGAAAATATTGCCAGTGAGGAGATCATGCGTCGTAATACCTGCCTGGCGTACTGTACTCACAACGGTCTGCATGGGACTCCGAGTCCGCTACGGTCTTATCCAACGAAGCAGAACAGAGAGTGCACCAGACCTCTTTGCGGTTTCCACTAAGCGTACGCGCGCGAGCCACTATGACCTCGCAAGTACTACACGAAATCACACTCTGCGATCTCTGAAACACCTTCTTTCTCTACCTCTCACCATTCGAACCACCAGTAGTTAATTTGATAGAGCGGGGGTTGACCACGCAGTTGCCAAAATTTCCAAATTGGATCAAATTCTCTAAAAAGTTGAGAAAATTTTCTTTTCGCTCTGTTTTTTTTGGAACTTCGGGCTCGAAAGTTTCGGAGTTGGTGAGGGGAGAAATTCCGAGAATTCCAGTGTTGCGGTCTTTTGCGAGCTCCTGGTCGAGCAAACCAGTGAGCTCCTGGTCAGCGAGGAGCTTAGATCCAGGCCCTTCCTCGAAGGGTACAGTTGGAGTTGCAAGCAATTGCCTTATGTAGTTCAACTCGCAAGAGGGCATCGCTTTCCACCCTCTCTTTGCGAGCTATGTGTCATTGACAGCTGCTTCACCGATTTTTCACTCTATTTTTTTTTTTTTTCATCTGATGTAATGGAACATGTCGTGATCGCTTAGTGCGCCAATTGGAGTTCTTCACGGGCATTTTTCTGTGACCAAATATCCAGAACTCAAAAAGTTTATCCGGCTTTTTTGATGCGACTCGTCATGATTGGTCGATATACATCTTCAAGAGAGAAAGAGGGGATCGTGCTCGACTTTTTGGGACCGAACTAAAAAATACTCGAAAGGCCAAGGAAACGGGGACTACACTGGAGATACATCTACAATAGTCTGACTCCTAACCTGAGGAACACCTCAAAGTGAAGCTCACTACGTGGATGGTCTTCTTTGCTTCGCATATTCGTCCTTTTAACATTCCCAGCTGGCCACTGGTGAGCCAAGATGGGATTTGCTTGGACATTGCATTAGAATGATCCGAAGCATTTTGAGCCCCAGCCTGAAAAATAGTTTATTTTGGTGCTCTTCTTCTATAACAGTGAGTGGGAAGCTCTATATATATCCCACAATGCACTTGCTATTGAATGCAGTTTTCAGAATTATACTGATATCTGGGACCAACTCAGTTCCAATTACTCTTCCCCCGCCGGATTTCCCTTCTTTGTAGCAAAGAACGTTGCGCTATGGCTACGGCCTAGTTACCCTTCCTCTTCCATTCACATCCTCATCCTTTGCTACCGAGAGCTTTCCACGTGACCACTTCCAGTAGCACTATCCCAGTTTTAAGATACAGCTAACTTTCCTTCTGACCTTCTAAGCTGGTCGTATCCGACTTGATCTCGTAATGCACACATTCCATAAGCGAATTCTAAAGGAGTTCAAAAGACTTCAGAAGAACCCTCTTCCCGGAATAACGATCAAGCCTTCAGAAACGGATCCAAATGATCTCTCAGTGTTTGTTTTTGACATCACTTTGCCTCCTGATTCCGATGGAGTTCTACACTCTATATATAGATCAGATATTTACCAGCTTAGGATTAAAATCACAGACGATTACCCAGTAGACTCCCCCGAGGTACAGTTTTTGAACCTGCATCCCGGTTCCAAAATTCCTTTACATCCCCACATTTATTCTAATGGTCACATATGTTTAGATCTACTTGGTTCCGGATGGACTCCTGCATGCTCTATGGAATCAATACTACTTAGCATTCAATCTATGTTGTCAACAAACGAGCTCGCGGAGCGTCCACCTGACGATCAGGCTTACGTCAGAACGGCACCCCTCAACCCCAAGAAGACAACCTTCGACTATCATGACGATAATGTCTAGTCTTCACTCTTGTGCTCAAGGTCGCAAATAACTCCACCATAATAAATGAGAATACCCATTGCGTAATAAAAAAAATTACGAAGTTCCAGAGGCTCTTCTTTGAAGTACCTTTACATATATAAACTGTTACCTCTAACCTATCGGTTTTATTATAATAAATATCATTCTATATATTCCTTGTAATACAATGAGTTCTGTGTTTTAAGTTGCATTCCTCAAATATTTTGTATGTAACATTGCACCGCCTACATCGGCATTGCTCTCACGTTTGCATTGCTTACATTGGTGGTACTGCTCTTTGCACCACTAGTGCGAGTGGTCTGTCCACTTGATGTCTTCTGGTATTTCAGTTTTCCTCCCCTTTGGCTATGCTTTTGGCTGGACAGATATCTTTTCCGGCTCCCACTTGAAACCTGAGATGAATATGTTTGCTGGTAAACAGCTGTTTTAGAAGTAGATGGAGTTTGACTTTGTCTTAACTGTTGCAAAACTTCCATATCTCTCTGCGACGCATTGAAATACGGTGACTCTATTTGTGTATGCGTCGTATTATTCTCCAGCGAGGTAGCAGGTACTTCCCTGACAAAATTATTACCATGGTTTTTCCTTTCCCGTGATAAACTACCTAGGAGTTTCTTGAAATATGTGAAGTTACTCAGTTGGTCTGGAGATAATCCTTGTAGTTTAGCAAAATCTCTTTTATTAGTGGGTAATTTGACTGCCATGTCTCTCAAAGTCAAGTCCAGAAAGACTTGGTTCGATGATCTGAAATTAAAATCTGCCATTTTTTGGTTTCTAAGATTGCTCAATTCAGCGTAGGAATGCTCTACATGTTCATTATTGGCAACATTGGTCTGAGGAAGTACAATGGGTGCACTTCCGGCCGTTCCCTGTATCTTATGAATTGCCGAAGAGGCCCCACTACCATTGTCCTGATTTATAAACGAAGAAAGGTTCTTCGCTGTGGTAAAAGAGCTTGTAAATCCAAGGTTTACTGGTATCGAAGGGGCATTATTCACTGCCCTCAACCTGGCACCATTTCCATTTCCATTACCAGCCACATTCCTATCATTCCCGCTAGTAGTACGGTTTCTCCTCTCTGTACTAAATTCAATCTTAATCCTTTTCCCGTTCCGCATAATTTCTCGAGAATTGGGTCCCAATTTGACATAGTTAGAGGCAAATCCACCTTTCATAATTTGGTACTCTGCTAACGCACCTTCACTTAGTAAGTAAAAGAAAATTCTCTCCACATCAGTCTTGTCCAAGTCATTTCCCTTACCATGAAATGGGTTCCTGTCATGACCAGCTGATACAATCTTCTTATTATTACTGCCTTTGAACACATCCTGACAATATAAAACTGTAACTCTTTCATTTTGAAATGATTGTACCAAGCCAAGGATATCCCTTGCATACTCAGTGACATCTCTTTCTACCATACTCGTTTTATTGGAGTTCAAACAACAATCACATTTCTTATTACATTTTTTAGGATCGAATTGTTCGTTGAAGTACTGCAACACTTGCTTTCTTCTACAATCAGTCGTATTTTCACAATATTGAACTACTTGTCTCAATTTAGACATGTGATTCTCTTTCGCTTCACGATCCAATTCTTTATCTCTTAAGATCATACCTTGTAAAGCCGTAGCATCTTTATAGCTGTAAAACATGATACAATCAGAATATTTACCATCTCTACCAGCTCTACCAGTCTCTTGGTAATAACCTTCTAAGGTTCTTGGGATATACAAGTGAATGACAAATCTAACATCGGGTTTATCAATTCCCATTCCAAATGCAATAGTAGCACAAATTACTTGCACTGTGTTATCCTGCCACTGCTGCTGAATTATGGTTCTATCATGAGGATCCATGCCAGCATGATAAAAGGCTGCTCTTATTCCCCAGCTTTGCAATTTTTGAGAGGTCTGTTCACATGATTGTTTTGAATGACAATATATCACTCCAGTGTGACCTCTATGCTTATTACTGATAAAATCTTTAATCCATTCCATGTAAGAAATGGAAGTCTTCCATTTGACATCATAAAATAAGTTGGTTCTATTGAAACTCTGCTTTAGTAGCATTGGGTCATTCATGCCGAGATTATGGATAATATCCATCCTAACCTTTTCATTGGCAGTTGCCGTAAGAGCCATTATTGGAATATTAGGATACTGCTGTTTGAAATAGCTCAAACCTTTGTAGTCCGGTCTGAAGTCGTGCCCCCACGAGCTAACACAATGTGCTTCATCTACTACTATTCTAGCCAACATACCTCTTTCAAACAACCAATCAATGGTCTTTTTTGCTTGTGGAGATGCACTCACCATTTCTGGCGACAAGTACACTAAATCCAAGAAGCCATTTCTAAACAACTCGAAAACTCTTTTCCTTTCTTCTGATGTACCTTTAGAACTTATCATCCCAGCCTTTATGTTTTTCTTTAGTAAATGTTGCACCTGGTCTTGCATAAGGGAGATTAATGGCGATATAACAATGGTTGTGCCCTTCGTTTTACCACTTTTGACCAACGCAGGAAGCTGATAACACAAAGATTTACCACCTCCTGTGGGCATTAAGACAAATACATCATTACCATTCAAAGTAGAATTAATGGCTTCCAACTGATTCGGGCGGAAAGATTCCAACTTGAACACACTATTGAGAAACTGGTAAACATCTTTGGTAAACTGGTACTGAGTTCCTATTGGTGGAAGGTTTTCTTTGTCTTCGTTCTCATCATCATCGCTGAAGTCGTCGTCATCTCCAAAATTGAGGTCCTCAATATTAAAGTTGAAAATATCAGAACGAACATCTGCCTTTACATCAACCGAAGAAATGTTCTTTTCTCCTAGCGGGTTCTTGTTAGTCTTGGTTAATGCATTGCTAACAGGCTCTTCTTCATCTTCTGAAATTACAATGACATCATGATTTGTTAGCTCTCGTTCTGCAGTATAGTCAATCTCCTCAATTTCATTTTCTTCATTTTCAATATCGTTTTCAAATTCTTCGTCATCATCGTCAATCTCATCTTCTTGCGTGAATATTTTACGAGAGCTCTGATTTATTTCAGTAACTTCATTATCATCAATTTCTATTACGTTAGATTTATGCAAATTTGACATGTCATCCTCATCATCCTCTTCTATGTCGTTATACTCATCATCACCTTCATCTTCTTCTTCACGATATGTACCATCAATGGATTGGCTCTCTTGCCCTCTTCCCTGGCTGTATTCTATGAAGCTATCCAAGTCACTACCATTATCATCTATAGGGAGCGGTGAAGTGTGAAGTCCATCCATGAGATTCTCCCCAAAATCATCTTCCTCTTCGTCATCATTTTTGTAAGTATTATCTTTTGGTCTGCTCCGATTTTGATTTACATATTCTCGAGCTTCTTGTAAATTTCGTTCTTCGTAATTTGTATTTTCCTGCTCAATCAAGCTTTGAACTGGTTCTGGTTGAGCGATAGCTTCCGATGGTGCTGGTTGGCTACGGATTTGGTGAAGAGGAGTCGGAGTAATGGTTTTAGCTATATGAACCGGGTTCTCCGTAAATCCATCAGCATCTGTAAATTGTGACGAAAAGTTAATTTTATCATAAATTGTCTCTTGGGGAAGTGACAAGTCTTCCATATTATTTAAATTTACAGGTTCCTGAGTGGAGGTTCCCGATATTTTATCTGAGTCTACATCCGGTAAGTCACTGTAGTTGAACGACTTATCATTGCCCTCAATCAAAGCAATTCCATCAACCTCAGGTAATCTAGCTCGAAGTAGGGCCTTATCACTCTTAATTTTCTCGAATTGGGGTTTAAATTTGTTCTTGATGTACTCTTTTTTATAGTCAATTGAGAGTGCTGTTGATTCTGTGACTGAGAACCTTTCCATTAGCAAATTGATCTTAGCTTCACAAACATTTATGTACCTTTGCTGGAGTGAGAGTAAAGCATTCTTCGAGTCATCAGGGGAATTCATGGAGCTTTTTAAAGTAGCGCTTCGAGCCAGAGGAGCGTGAATGGGAGGTTTGGTATCACCAGTTAAATCTACGACTGGCTTGCTATTAAGATACGGAGTGGACGCAACGAATGAAGATTGGGTTACTCCCGACTGATTGAACGTAGGCGGGGTCTGCTTCGTTTTTGGAAAAGTCGGTGGAGTTGGTCTTGACGCCTCTTGATTCTTTGATACTGGCGTTATCGGTATCACATTACTGTTCCTGGCTAGAGGTGGATTCTGAATTTGGGTTTGGGGTTGGGTATGCATTGTTGGTAACCTACCACTTTTGCCAGACTCGGTTTTATTTCTTGTGCCGTTTTTCTCCACTGATTCTAAGTTATTTTGAGGTAGATTGGGGTGACTACTGCTATTGCTACTGCTATTATTTTCAACACTATCACTTCTGTTAATGCCGAGATCATGATCCGGTAGATTTAATGGTATCTCGCCTTTTTTCATGAAAATATCCAAAAAGTTTCTATCGGGTATTTGAGGTTTATTCTCTTTCATCCATCGTATCTGCGTGGATAGGTTATTACTAGCACTTGTCATACTATAACTTCATCTTACGGTCACTCCCAGCCTATGTGATCTTTGTTTACACGAAGTTTTGATAGACACGTAAATATGCGTACTGCATACTACATTACGTTATATAGAAGAGCATCGCTCAGTAGTTTATACGCAGGGTGTTATAGAGGAAGAGCGTAGTGTGGCCTGCACCTTATACACAGGGCAATGGTAGAAACACAGAAGGGGTAGCATGGATTAAATTACTCGGATAAGGGAGAGAGGATTTAGTCGATTGCAACTTATTTGATTTAGCTAGAAGTGTTTTCCACGGATATCGCTTCCAGTATCACAGCTTTGTCTTGTTTCAACTCTAAATGATACGGCGAACCCTTTCTCGAAGGATAAGTCTAAGTGATACGGTGAGCCTTCTCGAAGAATTAGGGTTCTATACATAATATAGAAGTATTGCCGAACACATTCCAACAACCACGATCACTAGAACCAACGATAAAAATAAATTCACGTGTCATTGTACTACTAGGCGAGGGGACCGAGAGGTGAAGTTCAGTACTACATACAATAAACTTTAAGAATAAGCTTTCACCTTCTAATAGCAACGCTATTTCTTAAGGTTAGACAGGTTAAAAAGAAGAAAATCATGGATAAGTCAATTGCGGGAAATCCAGGTCCAATACGAAAAGATTAAAGAGTACCAATTCCAGTATGTTCTATTCTTTTCACTCACGCTCTCCACTTCTCACGTAATCCCCACATATCATTTTGAGCAGTTGACCTTAAACGGGGTCCCGTTGGCCTCAACTCCAAAACTTTTCTTTTAAGGTGTGCATTCTTTCTAAACTCCACTTTCATCATTTCCCCATAATAATTCAGTCTTTCCTTTTGAATTTCCCATACGAGTTACTTTCCCCAGATGATCTTTCTAAGTTGGGGGAAGATGGGGAGGATGTAACTTTTGCACCTCGTATCAATGCATCAGTTGCTATATGCAGGTCGCGTTTCAGAAGTGGTTCAAATAAGATGTAACGCAACACCAAAAGGAGATTGATCAGTTGACATTGAAGCCGTAGAAGAAAGAAGAATGTGGGTGAGCTACAAAGGGCGGGCTGAGATAAGCAACACAGATAGGAGGTTTCACTTTCCATCTTCTTCCCTCTTCGCACGGTCACTCTTCTGTTCATGACTATCATTGCATCTCCCTCCATCTCTTTGTCCAGCTACAAAGAAAAAAAAAAGAAATTTGAAAAACATTATCAATAGACTTAACACATCCGAATCTTATCTGTTATAGTGCTGCTTACAAGGACTGGATCTAATTATTATTCGAGCTAACTTTAAAATAGTCATCTTTAGTTTTTGCTTATACCCAAGATAGGCCAAGGTCTCTTCTTACATTCTCCAAGGGAGCAGTGCAGCAATCCCCGAACTGGCTAAGCTAAACTACTGCAGCACTTGCACTGGTTGAGCAGCACCACTTGGGTGCTAGCGCTACGTTAGGGTCATCGCTCCATGTCCACTACTCTCACCATTTCTGCCAATTCTCTATTCTCCATCCATATTCCCCATTGCCAACCACTCAACTGTTTACCTTTGAGGGGTCAAAACAGCATCAAAGCTTGTAAGCCTAACCCTAATCGCAACTACCCTAGTGTGGGCATTATTCGCCTTACCAAGTTGGAGATTGTCCTGCACACACTTGTCTCCTCACTTGGTCTCAAAGTTGGAGTAAACTTTTCCCGTTTTTGTGTCACAAAAACATGTACAACTGCTGAGCGAGAGAGAGGGGAGAGAGAGTGGAGAAGCACACAGAAGAGATGGGAGGGGATTAAAAATTTAAATGTGCAGAAAAGAAATACAGTGGGAAAAATAAAAAAAAAAAAAGAAAGAAAGAAAATAAAAGATTCACTGTTGAAGAAGCTAAATTGAACAAAGGCTAACAATCTGCAGAATGGTCTTACCTACCTATCAACTGCAGAACCACATCATCACTCCCTTTCTCGCATCTCTTTGGAATCCGATTAAACCACTTTACATCGTATCACTTTGTCCATTGGCTGATTTTCCAGTACGACGTATAGACCGATTCACGGAAAAATCACCCAACCAATTTGAAAACATCCCAGCCGCACCCTACCGAATTGAATAGGGATGGAACTTTTCTCAGCATTTCTTTTTTTTTCCCTACCATATGGCTGCTGCACAATGCAGTATCATTCTTTTTTTTTTTTTTTTTTTATTCACTAATTCTTTTGTCTATTATTATTTTTGCTCTCTCGCATTTTTCCACCTCACACCACTGCTAAGAAAAAGGTAAACCCACCAAATTATATATAGTTTGGGGAATCTGGAGATCTTTTCAGTATTTCTACTTCTACTTCTGAAGAGTACATTCTAAAACTTGGTAATCTGATTTATAAATTTATTTATCGCTTAAACTAGAATTTTCAACAAAGTGGTCCGGACATTACACCGAGCTCACTACTTTTGATAATATATAGATATATATATTTTTGGATAGATATAAGACTGCTGCTATTCACCAAAGTGCAACTACAAGTACAACTGTTTTTAGACCAGTTTTTTTTTTTTTAGTTTTCGAAACACTCAGTTTAATTTGCATTACAACCATGCTCCAGTACCCAATCCAATCTATACCTCACATTTCCGACTCGAAATTCTCGTATAGACCATCCACTTCCCCAGGTGGCCTGAGCTTTACGTCGCTGTCGGCATCGAGCGATGGGGACCTTCTTCCTGACTTATGGCTGGACTGTCAGCAGGAAGCAAACAACCAATATCAATATTCTCTCCAACAAACGCAATTGTCGCAATTTCCACAAGTTTCGCAGATGTCGCAGCACCAAATGTTGGCAATAGGCGTTCAACAGCAACAGCAACAAGTCCAAAGTCCAATTGCCCACATGCTGGTCTGGAATTCGGACTATGTGCCCGAAGCAAGACTCCCATTTCCAAATTCGTTCACTAACGAACTTTCAGATCTCACCGAGGAAAACTTGCTCAAGTATGATCCATCGGTAGATTCCCCTCCAACCGATTACGCATATAACACTAGAAACACCTCAGTTTCTGCCCACTCTTGCGAAGAGTTGTTTGATTTTGAGCAACAACAGCAACATTTACATCAACAGCATCAACCTCCCATTATTTCGAAGCAGAAGCCACAGTCTGTCAATACCCAGTTGTATAAGACTGAGTTATGTGCCTCGTTCGTTAAGGTGGGTGTATGCCCTTACGGGAATAAATGTCAATTTGCGCACGGAAGAAGCGAATTGAAAATTGTTGACAGACCACCAAAGTGGAGATCTAAGCCATGTGCCAATTGGTCCAAATACGGATCATGTCGTTATGGAAATAGATGTTGCTTCAAGCATAATGAATAATGAATTAACAGGGACTTATAAACTAACGACTTCAAGGAATACAATTACAAAAAAGACTTAAAAAAGAACGAAAAAAAAAACCCCACCCAAAATACTAAAAGACTAAAATTTCAAACAAAATTAATGACGATGATTATTTATATAAAAAGTTTATCATATATCAGTACAAATCCAGTATGTATTATAAAGGAAATAGGAAATACAATGCAATAATTGCCTTATCTCGAACAACGTGTAGCAAAAAATAGGGCCTCCTCCGTCTTATTTCAAGGAGAAGTTCATTGTAATTTTGGTGAGCACTATTAAGGTGTAGAGCTCCTTTTCGCAACCGTTTTCGAAATTGCCCGAATAGGACTGACTTCTCAAAGTGCGAGCGAGCAGCCGAGCGGTACAACCAAGGCGAAAGTAGAGAAACAGAGGGGAGAGCAGCAAGCGGGAAGCAAATCTAGAGGTAATACCCGAAGCTAAGGCCAATAGCACGGATCTAATGTGTTCATTGACCAACTAGAGATTCTACTGTAAGAAAAAGAAAATCCACCGCCCGCCTACAGCTCCAAAGTTAGAAAAAGCAAAACTACGAGTAGGCACTATTAAAACCTACTCCACTCTATTTTTATTCTTCTTTTCCTTAGCCTACAGTATCGTATCAAGAACAGTCTCAGATATTAAATACATCACTAAGTTTGTGTGGTGATATGGCCGTGATGTTCTCCGCAGCGCCCGCCGGTCAATGTATACACAGACTAGCGAGGTGAATACTGAAACAGATGAATTAACTATAGCCTCTCTTCATCGACTGTTATAGTTGATGAAGAAAAGAGAACAGAAAAGTTTCATAAAGTGAGCTCCCACCAACGCTGAAATCATATAGCCATCTCCGGGTAACTAGTGAAAAATTTTGGAGTTGTGCATTTTTCTTCTTGCCTTCTCACTATGAATCATGAAAAATTCTATGGGTTGCACGACTCAAGCGAAAAATTAAGTTTGTGTCTTCCAAAGAAGAGGACTTTTAACTAGGCCAGGTAGAGCATTTCAGAAGGCATTCATAGAGGAAATCCTCGAATTTTTTATTATTTTGCAGAGTACCTTGATGACAGACTTTTCCAGCTTGAGCTGGGAGCAATTGGATCCTTTATTTGAGAAATCCATCACAACTTCTGCCACCAACAGTCGTATTCCAGCCTTGCAAAGAGTATGCCAACTCTTAGCTGCCAACGAGATCCCGCCAGAGGCGTTCGCTAAGCTATCTGCTTTAGTGTTACAAACGTACAATTTTTACCTGGATGATGAAAGTAGAAAGGAGGTGGTCACCACTATACAAGCTCTTTTGCACAGTAAGCCAGAATTGCTAAACAAGTATGTCAAATTCATCAAAGACATTGCAGTTCCACCCAAATCTATTGCGACCACCGATTTGATCACATTGTTGACCTGGATCAACAAGATCAGTGTTTTGGCTCCACAATTGACTGCAGATATTGCCATTACCCAGGCAACGTTAGTGGAATCCGTAGTAAGTGCTGTTTCTTCGGCTGCTGCGTCTGCAAAGTCGAACGCAAAGCACAATCGTAGAGTTCATGATTCCGTATTGACTGCTACTAAGCTGTCAATCTATAAGACTATCAACGGAGCCAAATCAATAGAAAGTACAATCGATACTTATGTAAAAACCTTGACGTCGTCGCAGTCAACTTCGTCGTCCATTCTATTCTTCGGTCTTTTAACCAAGACCGTGCATGAATTGGCTCCTGTTCAGCCAACTGCTGCCCAAATCTTTGGAGAGAAGCAGAAAACAGTCATCTTGCAGTATTTTAATAAGGAAGTCTTACTTGGAAAGGTTGCACCTACTCAGGAAAGCTTGAATGTATTTGGCTACTTCATAAATGAGTATATCACCACCAAATCGGATTTCACAGATGTAATCTTGCCCAATTTGGAAAAGGCGAACTTGAGATCTCCGGAAGTGACTTTTGGCTCTATCTTGGTTCTGTTTTTCAGTAATTTACCTTCCAGTGTTTCATTGGGTGACATTTTGATTGAATCCAAGCTTTTATCACAATTTATATCAAATTTGAAGTCGACGAAAGAAGAAACAAGAGAAGGAGCCTTGACCGCTTTGAAGGTTGTTCTTAATCAACATTCATTTACCGAAGAATGCACTAAGACTTTAATCTCAGAAATCTTTAAAGCTCTAAAATCAATTTCCAATGTTGAACAGAAAGTTATCTTTGGAGGCGCAATCTCCTCAATTGACCCATTGACGGTAGATAATTCTGAATCAATACTAACTCAATTACTTACATTTGTGATAAAAGACCAAAATGAGATCTCATTGACTGGGTATGTTAGAGCATTTCTTAGCCATTTTATTAAAGCTTTAAGCTTTGACCTGGGTTTAAAGGATTACCAAAAATTCGTAACACAACTCAACACTGGCTTGAAAGATAAGAAATTGAACTTAAGAAAAGTATGGGCTACCGAACTTGGCAGTCTGCTTTACCAAATTAAGGACAAAAGCAGTAAAGTAACCGATTTGATTTCTCAAGTCTCTGCTAGCTTAACAGCTTCTATTGATGAAGCCCAGCAGGCACCACTTCCAACAGTTTCAAATAAAGGAATTGCAGTTAGTTACGTTGCCTTGAGCTTAATATCTGAACCAAAAATTTTCGAACCTTTAATTATGATCGAAGGCGAAAAGCCCTCCATTCTTTCAAACCATAGAGTATACACCAAGTTATCAGGTTTTGAATGCTTGTGGTACTTACGAGCCTTAAGAAATGTTCCGACTGCGCTCTTGAATGTTGAAGTCGCTCAAGCATGGATTTATTTTGCCATTTCTAAAAATGTTGAAGTTGAATATAGAAGATTGGCTTTGACGTTTATTAAAGAATTAATGCAAAGCGAATCAAAGAACACATTTGCAGATCATATTGTTGACGGATTACTTTCCACTTTAACCGATAAAGACAATTCCCAGTTCAATCTTGGATTTGAATACATTTCCAGCATTTTAAATGAAATTGCTACTCCAGAAAATGTTGAAAATATTTTAATCATCGCCAACTATCCTGGCATTAATTTAAAGAATGGATGGACTGGTTTATGCCAGCATTTAGAAGTTGATGCAGGAATTATTATACTCCAGAACCATGATTCTATAATTGATCGTTGTCTCGAAGTGGCTCAATCTTCTCAATTATACTTAGCATCAATTAAAACTTTAGCTCTTTGTGCATTCATTCAGCCTGACTTGGTTTCTCCAAAATTAACCAAGAGGGCTATTAAACTTGACTTAACTAAATTGACAACAGTTGATCATTCGCATATTGCCATTTGGCAAGGTCAAGAAGGTGAATTGGTAAATGACCCTTTGGTAAAGAAAGACAAGCAAATCGATAGAAATACAAAAGATTATGAAACCAAGAAATGGGAGCAAGACATGAGAAAAGAATTGGAGTTAAAGGGTAAGGTTGCTCCAAAGAAGAAGTATACCAGAGAAGAACAGCAGTTGGTCAATGACCAACTCTCTAAGGAAAGCAAAATCAGAAGTCAAATACAGGCAAATGTTGATGACTTTCTTCGTAGCATTGATTTAGTCAATGAATTGGTCAATAATGCCACTCAAAATATTGACAATGGTGCTAAGCACTGGTATCCTTATGCCATTGACCATATCTTAGAGACTTCAATCTACGTTGATTCTGCATTCTTAGGCAATAAACCATCGCAATCATTGCTAGCTCTCTCTGATATTTTAACACCAAGATTAGGTTCAATTAGAAAATTAATTGGTGCAGCAATCTTGAGAGTTTACAACATTTCTACAATCCCTGAAAACTACTTACAAGAACCATTGATCAAATTATTGTCAAGGATTTTGTATTTTGTCAAGATCTTATCTGATAAGAGTCCTTTGGATTCTTTATCTTTGTCCTATGTGTTACCATTGTTGAAGAAGGTAATGGAAAATGGGAAAAAGGTTGCTATCAAAAATGCTTCTAAACAAGCAGTGACCTCTGAGTATGCCGATGAAGACCCCGAAGAGGAACAGCTCTTGTTGGCGATGGAAATCATTGGTTGTCACGCTGAAGCCTTTGAAGATGAGTTCATTCCAAGAACCTACATCTTGCAGGAATTAATCTCTTTAATGAAGTTAGCAAGTAGAGCTAAATTGGCCAAGGAGTGTTTCACTTCAATTTGTCAACATATTTCTGTTAACATAGAGGAATCCGATTTACAACTACTTTTAACTAACACTGTCATATCTGAGGTGTTCGTAAGGACGGCCGTTTTGGAAGTATTGGATAGTGAGTTTGACTTGCTGGAACGTAAGGTATTCACCCCAGAACTTTGGATTGCTGTCCATGATAACGATGAGCAATGCAAAGAATTGGCTACTACTATTTGGACTGAAAATGAATTTGAAATTCCAGAAACCGGATTTTTGGAAGTAATGTTGAAGTTTTTCGATAATTCCAATCCAGGATTAAGATATTCAATTGCCAAGGCTACTGTGGAAGGGATTAGTTCCGTCCCAGATGCTGTCACTTCTTTAATCAATCATTTTTGGCTCAAAGAAAAGCCTCCTGCCCCAATTTACGATCAATTTGGATTAATTGTTAAATCATCTCAAGAACAAAAGGATTTATGGGAAGATCGTTCCACGGTTGCATTAGTGATTAAAGAATTAACTCCACACCTATCTGAGTCATCAGTGATTGTTCAGATATTCACATTTTTAGTTAAAGATAAGGCATTGGGTGACAAGGAAGATGTTGTTTGCCAGGAGCTTCAAGAAGCTGGAATTGAAATAATTGAGCACCACGGTGCTAACACAATTTCTGAATTGATTCCTATTTTTGAAGATAGTCTTGCTTCAAAGGATAGTAAATCAATTACCGAATCAGTTGTTATTCTTTACGGTGCATTGGCACGTCATTTGAACAAAACTGATGAAAGATTAGAAATCATTGTCGAAAGATTATTAAAAACTCTCGATACTTCTTCCGAAATTGTCCAGTATTCTGTTTCTGAATGTATCGCACCATTAGTCCCAAAATTCGAAAAACCTAAGTTAACTAAATATTTTGATAAGTTATTAACTAAATTATTCGAGGGGCCAAAGTTGGGCGTTAGGAGAGGAGCTGCTTACGGTATTTCTGGGTTAGTCAAAGGTTCTGGTATACAAGCCTTATCAACCTTCGATATCTTGAGGGAATTGACTGATGCAGCTGACGACAAGAAAAATCCACAACGTCGTGAAGGGGTCTCTTTAGCCTTCTACTGTTTGTCTAGACTGCTAGGAAAATATTTCGAACCTTACGTCATCGAAGTGTTACCCATTATTTTGAAGTCTTTAGGTGATCAAGTTCCAGAAGTTCGTGACGCCACGGATTTGGCTGCTAGGCAGATTATGAAAACTACCACCAGTTATGGTGTTAAGCAATTAATCCCATTGGCCATTGCTAATTTGGATGAAATTCAGTGGAGATCTAAAAAGGGATCTGTTGAATTGTTAGGTTCCATGGCTTACTTAGATCCTACTCAACTTTCAGCTTCATTATCTACTATTGTTCCTGAAATTGTTGGTGTATTGAATGACTCCCACAAGGAAGTACGTAAAGCTGCTGATCAATCTTTGAAGAGATTTGGTGAAGTTATCCGTAATCCTGAAATTCAAGTTGTTGTCCCTAATTTGCTTAATGCTATTGGAGATCCTACTAAATACACTGATGATGCATTAGATAGGTTGATCAAGACTCAATTCGTTCATTACATCGATGGGCCATCTTTGGCATTGATAATTCATGTTATCCACAGAGGTATGAGGGATAGATCGGCAGCTACTAAGAGAAAGGCCTGTCAAATTGTTGGAAATATGGCAATCTTAGTTGACTCAGGAGATTTGAAACCTTACTTGTCTCAATTGGTTGGTGAGTTAGAAGTTGCAATGGTTGACCCTGTGCCAGGTACGAGATCAACTGCAGCAAGAGCATTGGGTTCTTTGGTCGAGAAATTAGGTGAAGAGCAATTCCCAGATTTGATCCCAAGATTGTTAGATGCATTGCAAGATGAATCGAGAGCTGGTGATAGATTAGGTTCTGGACAAGCCTTAGCCGAAGTTATCTGTGGTCTTGGAATTAACAAATTGGAGGAATTATTACCTCAAATTTTGGCCAATGCAACTTCACCAAGGAATCATATTAGAGCTGGTTACATGCCATTATTGTTGTTTTTGCCTGTCTGTTTTGGTTCGCAATTTGCTCCGTATTTGTCTAAAATCATTCCACCGATTCTTAATGGTTTAGCAGATATTGACGAGGAGATTAGAGATACTGCATTAAGAGCCGGTAGACTAATTGTTAAAAACTATGCTAAGAAGGCTGTTGACTTATTGTTACCTGAATTAGAAATCGGTTTATCTGATGAAAGTTATAGAATCAGACTATCTTCCGTTGAATTGACTGGTGATTTGTTGTTTCAAGTTACTGGTATCAGTGGTAAGAACGAATTATCTGAAGGTAAAGAAGCTGGTGAAGATTCCGACGATGAAGAAGAAAATGCCACAATTCAATCCAGTGAAATCAACAAAGCTCTTACTGAAGCATTGGGACAAGACCGTAGAGATCGTATTTTGGCTTTGTTATTCATCTGTCGTTCCGATGTTGCAGGTATTGTACGTAGTGCGGCTGTTGATATTTGGAAGGCATTAGTTGCCAACACTCCAAGAACAGTAAAGGAAATCTTACCTACTCTTACTCATTTCATCGTCCTTAGATTAGCATCTCCTGATATCACTCAACGTACAATCGCCGCTCAAACATTGGGTGATATGGTTCGTCGTGTAGGAGCTAACGCTTTGGCCCAATTATTACCTACATTGGAAGAATCATTGAACAATTCTTCTGACAATGACGCCAAGCAAGGTATTTGCATCGCATTGACCGAATTAATCAGATCATCGCAACACGATGCATTGGTCGAATATCAAGAAGTTTTTATTAGAACAATTAGAGATGCCTTGTGTGACCCTGCTCCTGGTGTTAGAGAATCAGCAGCTCAAGCATTTGAAGCCTTACAAGAAGAGTTAGGTAAGGTGGTTATTGATGAAATTTTACCTCACTTACTAAACTTGTTGCAGAAGGGAGATAATGGTTCCGTTGTTGAAAGCGAAAATGCCTTGTTAGCACTTAAAGACATCATGTCAACAAAGTCTGACATTATTTTCCCGATCTTGTTACCTTCATTATTATCACCTCCAATTGATTCTTTCAAGGCAACTGCATTGGCTTCATTGGCTTCTGTTGCTGGTCCTGCATTGTACAAGCGTTTGTCCCATGTTATTAATACATTAGTTCAAGCGGTCATTGACTCTGAAACTAAGGGTGAAAGTGAAGAACAACAACAGGAAATTAAAGATGCCTTTGATAGTGTGCTCCTTGCGATCGATTCCGAAGAAGGTTTGCATCCATTGATGCAACAATTGTTATCATTAGTAAAACATGAAGATGCTGCAAGACGTGCAGTCGTTTATGAAAGATTAGGTAACTTCTTCGCCAATACCACATTGGATTACTCGGTTTACACCCAAGACATGATTGGTCAATTTATTTTGTCCTTAGGGGACAAGGCATCTCCAAAGGTTGTTTTGGGAACTTTCAATGCCCTTAACGCTTTAGTTAAAAAGCAGAGTAAAGAATCCTTAGAAAAATTAGTAAGACCTACTCGTCAAGCATTGTCTTTAACTGGTGTCAAAGGTGAAGATCTCGCAGGTTTTGCCTTACCTCGTGGTCCAAGTTGTATCTTACCAATTTTCTTGCATGGTTTAATGTACGGTAATTCTGAACAAAAGGAATTGTCTGCTTCAGGTATTGCAGAAGTTATTGAAAAGACTCCAGCTGTTAATTTGAAACCATTTGCGACAACAATCACTGGTCCATTAATTCGTGTTATTGGTGAAAAGGTTAATTCTGATATCAAGGCTGCTATTTTACAGGCGTTAACTGTATTATTGTCTAAGATTCCTCAATTCTTGAGGCCATTCATTCCTCAATTGCAGAGAACATTCGTCCGTTCTTTAGCCGATCCTACAAATGATAAATTACGTAGTAAGGCCGTTTTGGCCCTTGGAACTCTTATTGAATTTCAACCAAGAGTCGATTCATTAGTAACTGAATTGGTTTCAGGTGCAAAGCAGGCAGACCAGGCCGTTAAGACGTCCATCTTAAAGGGGATCTTGGAAGTCGTCAGTAAAGCTGGTAAAAACATGAGCGAATCATCAAAGACTTCTATCATGACATTGGTCGAAGAGGAAATTACTAAGGTTAGTGAGAAATCAGCTGTTGCCTACGCAAGACTTGTTGGTTCTTTGTCAAAGGTTTTACTGTCTGAAGAGGCTACCAACATTTTAAAGACTAAAATTTTGAATACCTCAGTTCAAGGAGACTTTAAATTTTCAATTTTATCCATTAATTCATTCTTGAAGGATGCTCCAAATCACATTTTCCAAACTGGATTGTTGGACGAGATTGTTGACTTTATTATTGAAGCTTCTCAATCCAGTCAAAGTTACATTAGTGATAATGCAACAGTTGCTATTGGAAAGATTTTGTTATTAAATCATGAAAACAAATCACCCAAAACTATAAACCCTGTGGTCTCCGATACTCTCTTCGAAATACCACAACCAACTGTTGAAAAATTAATTGATCAACTTTGCCAGAACATGTTGCAACCATCATCAAACTCTCCAGATTCAAGAAGATTGTCATTGGTCGTTATACGTACCGTGGCGAGATTTAAGTATGATCTTGAAATTCACGAATACTTAGATAAATTGGCCCCATCCATTTTTACATGTATCAGAGATCCAATTATCCCAATTAGATTAGCCGCAGAGAAATCTTGGTTAGCTATTTTCCAATTGGTAGAAGATGAGAAGGCTCAAATATTTGATGAATGGTTCAGCGGTAAGGAAACAATGACCAATGCTTTGGGAGCAGCTATCCAAGCAAGATCAATTGGTGACTACACCAAGAGAGTGGCAACCAGGTTGGCAACTGTTGAGAGGGAAAGAATCGAGCAAGGCGGTGATGCAGAAACTATGTTCTCAGATAGATTTGAAGATGAAAATGAAGTGTGGGCTGTTGGAGGTGTTGACTTGAAGAAATGATAAGAGCGACCTGATCTGAAAGGATAACAGCGTTAGATACAATAGAATAAATAGACATTCCATATGAAGTTTTTGCCTGTAAGTAAGGTTGAAGAACCAAACCTTAGTGATTCGTCAAGAGAACTCAGGACTTAAAGCGGTTATGTCGAAATCCTCTGGGCTTTTGGATGTAGATGTAGTTGAAGCACTACTAACATCACAATAAGAAAATTAGAGTTTTAGACAGTCCGGGGTACTAACATCCCCACCTAGAATTAATTACCAAATAGGTTGGTACTTAGTGCTTTGTTTCAAGATATATACGTTAAAAATAAGTACTATGGTGTCACTGGACCAAAACTGCATGGACGACATAGAAATACAAAGCTATTTTATCACCAACCTTTATTTATATTTATATATTGGCTACTTCTAAATTAGAACTAGCCAATCTATACATTCTCTATACAGACAACTATTTTACACTAATATTACAGATATCCTTTTGTTTCCTCTTTTCTTCATGTACTTTCTTTTCAATTACCTTCTTCTAGATACTTTCGAAGCTGGCCACTCTTACCTGAACTAGAACTTAAAGTTCTGTGTGATTTATTAAATATTAACGGAGGCTCGGCGTATTGCAGATTGATTCTACTAAACGATGGCATCGATAAATTTGTAGGTAAATCCAAGTTTAAACTTCTTAATGGCGGTAAGGCGTTAGAGTCTTCATCTTGTTGTTGTGCGATGCCTGGTGAATTTTTGGGCCTGCTTTTTGTGGAAGGAGGAGGGGTTGTTTTACGGTGTAGATTGGAGCTGCCATGGTGCTGTTGAGTACTCAGGTGCCCATTTTGGACAACAGGGGTCATAAACAATCCAGATAAATTGGTACTACTATTATTTGCCGAAAGGATAGGTGTTACGTTTGTTGAAAGTCCCATAACTGGAGAATTGGGTAAAGTGAAGGACATCGGAGTGGGTGAATTTGGTCTTGATTTCTTCAATTTTTGTTTAACATAGTCCAAATCTGAATCCTCCAAGATGTGGTTCTTCTGTGGTTGAGGCTGCACTATGGGAGTCATTCTTTGTAATGCAGAGAGGGTGTTCAAATGTGTTTTGTTGGAGTTGGACAACGTAGTATAGCTCTTCGAGTGGGTATACACAGAACCATTATTACTATTGATACTGTTGTTGGCACTGTTGCTTGTATTGTTGCTCTGGCTCATTGCTATGTTTGTCAAATATTGAAGACTGTTTGTTGAATAGGAGTGAGAGCTCTTCAATGGTGGTTTTATTAATGAAGGAGGGTGTGTGAACTGCTTGGTGTTGCCCTTTTCAAAGTAGTCTACAAGTGAGGGTAACGACTTCGAGTTATTTGGAGTTTCCAAGTTCTTTAACTCTTCCGATGCTGCGCTAGCGAGGATGTCAATGTTCATGGTGGAAGGTGGCCTATCAAGCTTTGGCTTTTCTTGACCAGCATTAGGACTGGATTTCTCTTCATCGCTTTCTACCTTCATCATAGTGGAAGGTGGAGAGTCCATCACGTCTACGTCTGCGTTGGGAGAGCTCAACTCTGAGTCGTTGGGACTGGCACTCCGCTTCTTGCCCAAAGAGTGTTCGTCAGGAGGTGACGAGCCGAGTGTCATATTTATCCCACTTTCTGTCTTACCGGTACCATCTTCACCGTTTCCTGAGCTCGTTTTACTCAAATTCTTGTTCCTTCGCGAGTTTGGATTCGTATGGATTCTGGAATGCCTGGTGAGCTCATCAGAGCGAGAGAATTTTTTGAAACACCCTGGAAACGAGCAGCTGTGGGGCTTTTCTCCAGTGTGCGTTCTTATGTGTCTCGTCTGGTGCTCGAGTCTATGGAAGGCCTTGTCACACATCGGGCACTTATATGGCCTTTGTGCCGGGTCTTTCTTCCTTGCCTCCATCATATTTCTGTTTAGTGGGTCTTTTTTTTTCTGTCTCTGCTGATGAGATGTGGAGAAATTTCGATTCGAGGATTCTGACTCCTTCAATACTTCTTGGTTATATGCTATGACCTGTCTCTTTATTCCTTGGTGTATTAGACGACTGGTATTCGTGGGTTATCCTTATCCTAGCACGGAGTTGCTATCTGTTGTAGATATAACAAAAAAAAATAAGATTCCAAAAAAAAAACTCGTTTCTTCTGAGTCCCTAACAAGCAAAATAGCGGGGATTTTTCTGGTTTTAAAGGGGAAGGGTTTTTTTCTCTTTTTGTCCGGCTCGACTGTTTTGTTCGGGTTTTTAGATTTTCTTAGTTGAAAGATCTGAAACGAACAAAGATCTGGTGCTAGTGAGCGTTGTCTTGGTGTGATTGTCCTTTTGGCTCCAGGACTTGAAGCAGATTTGTTGACTGAGCCCGAGTTTGAAACGATAAGAAAGGAGGGGTGAAAACCTTGATAAAGAAACGAGGAATATAACAAAAAAAATAAATAAAGGTTAAATGGATTCAATGAAGTCTGGAAGAACTTTACGGGGGAGAAAACACAGAGAGCCGTAGTAATGGGGAAAGGGAAAAAGAGGAAGAGGGAAAAAAGAAAAGAAATGAAAAAAATAAAAAAAAAAAAAAAATTAAAAAAAAAAAATGAAAGAAGAGAAGAAGAGTGAAGAGCTAGCTGAAAACCCATCTACCCTGCCAGAAGCTGGAGACTCAGCAACAAAAACTGGAGAAAGTTAGGGGCACATCTGGCGAATTTCGTGTATCGCGCATTAGCGGGGTTGACATATTTGCTGCTCTACCGCAAGAAAAAATCTCCTTGTTTGCTCCGGTTCAACATTGTCCTACAGTTATGTAGAAAAGTTACCAGGTAATTTTTTGGCCCATTTTTAAAGTTTGGGATTTTGAGGGGTAGATTTAGCGGAGAAGAGAGATGTAAGTACAGTACTACAGAAAATATGCAGCACCCACATCGAGGAAAAACAGATGCGGACGGACAAAATGGAAAAATGAAAAAGTGAAAAATTGAAAAAAAAAAAAAATATAAAATAAAAAATAAAAAAAATATCCACATCAACGCACGTAAAGCGAAGATTCCCGGAATAATAGGAGTTCGGGGTCGGTGTTGGTGTTGGTGGTCGGGGTGGAGGGTGTGGTGCTGGTGTGCACCTCAGTGTTGGGCGAAATGCGGAGCTTCACTGGCAATTTTGCCAGTACCTTGGTTCTGTTCACGATTTAGACTTCTGGTGTTGTGCTTTTTCGAAACGTGGGGATGGCGAGATTCCTCTGTATTTCCTCTTTTGGCTCCTGCTTTTCGTCTCTACCTTCTTGGTGGTGCTACTTGCGAGTGTGCAATCTTGCCACAAATAAAGTCGAATGTCTGTGGTGGGAAGACTGCTATTGCTATTGTTTGCCTGGTACAGTACGGTACGCCTCGCCTGATGTGTGCCTTATGTAAGAAGCACTTAACGCCTAAGAAAAAGAAAAGTTTCGCGCACGTCTCTCTTTAATGCGCCATTCAATGCACTCAAGACTTTGGTATACGGAAATTTTTCGCCGTTAGCTGATATCCGAGAATGCCCGCACACTTACTTGAGTGCCAACAGGCCGTGCAAAGAGGAAGCTGTGACTTTCCCTTGAGTCTCTGTATCCCTTGCCTATACAACTAAACTTACTGAGCGACTATATTCTGAGTGTATCGTCCTGATTCTTCTCATTCTTCTATCTTGCAACCCGCATTCCTGGGCTGCCTCTTGCTCTCTGCGTATGTCAACCAGCCGTTACATTTGTTCTCATGCATAAGCGGCTAGATATTTGATCTTGTATGCAGATTTAGTCTAGCTTTGAGATGGACCACTGGCTGAGAAGAGATCGATGTGGGGAGGTTGAATATGTTGGCGTTTGAAGGCGATATGAAGCCAATATGAGCGCCGGTAGTTTATTTGGCTCTGACCATCGACTTTGATAGCAATGAATGAGCCGGTACTTTGGGAAGGACCTCCGCAGACATATTATTAGTATGTCAAAAGATATTCATTTTTCACCAGAGTAACACGAACTAGCGAGAAATATATTACTGAGCAGCAATTGCCAGTGGCAGCAGTGTTTTCTCTTCTCGTTCCCCAAGTCTTAGAACCAGAAATAACTTTGCCTAAATTTGTAGAAATATGTCTCTGCTTAAGATGTTAATATTCTTCCCAAGACTACCGATACACTTCACTCTACTTCACCTTCTAACGGCTAGGTCAAGCTTGATCAGCTGACCTCGACTCACAGTGTGATTGTTTTGTCACACTACCTCGATTTCTTTTTTTGGCCCTTTTGTTTTTTGCAGCCAAAATTCACAAACACAAAAGGCGGCAGCCTAAGGATCCTTAACTAAAGTTCCTTACTGTTCTTCTTCTGCTATATCTAGCTACTATCTTTTATAGTTCTATATATACATTCCCTATACCTCTGTCTATTCTCTACTTAAACTCGAATGCCCAAATATACGTACACCAAGCGAGCAGCCAGTCCCGCGTGCAAAGTTTCGGTCCCCAGTGCTTCAGATTTTACAGATCTTACCAGAAGCACTTCAGCTTCGCCTCTAAATTCCAAATCGTACTCCAAAGTCGGCAAGCAATTAAATAGTTACGATAATATTAGAAATGAGTTTAAGGATGTGGTCAATAAACGAGTTCAAGGCGGCCAACCAACAATTATTGACGCCAAGGACCCTCAACTGATTGAGGAAGAACCATTGAATGATAAGGAGAACCTTCACAGCTCAACCGCCTCAATGGAAGAAGGAAAACAAGGAAGTGCAAGAAAAGATACCAAGTCTATTCGTGACAGACCTTCCTCTTGCGTTTTCGTTGCTTCACTAACTTCATCTTTATCAGATGACCAGCTTTGTATTGCCGTAACCAACTACTTCTCTACATGGGGCGTCCTTACTGGGGTCAAGGTTCTTAGAGATCCCCACAACAGGCCATATGCCTTTGTTCAGTACAATAATGATAAAGATGCAAAGAACGCCATCTGTCATGCTCACAACTCAGAACTTGAAGGAAGACCTATTAGATGTGAACGTGCAAAAGTTAACCGTACGTTGTTTTTCTCTTCTTCCTTGGCATATCATGAGAATGATATTAGATCTCAATTGGAAGTATTCGGAGAAGTGGAAAAGGCATTACCTAGTAATGACAAGGGGTATATTTTGCTAAATGGTAATACAAAGTTTTCCAAACACTGGTACATTAAATTCGCCTATCGTGAGGATGCCATTAGATCTTTTGCAAGTTTGAAAACAGACAATTCAAAGTGGATTGAATGGGCAAAAAACATAGATGAAGAAGAAAGTGCATTTGGAGATGATTCAACCTCCAATAACGGATCAGATGACGGGAATACCAAATCAATTGACCAGAAATCAGTCTTCGTTGGTCAGATTTCGAATGATATTAGTAAGGAAGACTTGATGGAAAGATTTAGCAAGCACGGAGAAATCGATGAGTTGGTATTAACTAAGCGCTTTATGAATAATTTCGCTTTCATCAAATACAAAGATGAATCTAGTTGTGCAAGTGCTGTCGAAAAGGAAAACCACTCAATGTTTAAAGATAAAACATTGCATGTCCAGTACAAGGAGATTCATAATAACCCAAATAGAAACCACAAAAATAGAATTTCATCAAGGGGCAATGATTTCTCCAAGAAAGTATTCGGTATTGAGTTGGCTCCTCCACCAATTAATTTAGCCAGGAAAAAGGTGAGTGGGCCAAGTTATAGGCACGTCGATTTCAACAACGATGCCGATACCAAAGCAAGTCAGCAGTATAGAAATTACAATTCCCAATTTCAACCAAGACATCACCAGGCTCCAAATTTAAATGAAAAATATAGACCACCAAATAGTTTTTTGCCTTCCAGCAAATGGAACCACCTAATCAAGTCAGATAACTTTCCAAAAATAGTGCACGAAAGAGGTGCGTACAACAGGAATTTTTATACCTACAAACCTCGTTGGACTAAGCAGAACGAAATTGGCCCTTCTCACCAGCATCCACAAGACTCACCTCACCGTACTCCTCCTCCTAGCATAACTTCTGAAGCTTCTGTTGATAAAAGTTTGGATACAAACTCGATGGATGCCAAAAGTGAAAAAGGAACTGAAAAGGCAGATGTTACGGGAACAACAGTAACCTTTGGTACCACTGGAACCAATGATACAACTGTGGGTTCAATTGGCAACAATCTAAAGTTAAACAGTTTTGGGCCAGATGCAAAGAGAATGAATATGCCCTTTTTTTACTATATTCCATCCACTGAATTGGTTGCAAATCAAATGCAGGGGTATATGCAACCATTGCCACAGCATTATAACCCATATGCATATTATTCATCCTATGATATCCCTCCACAAGAATACATTTCACAGAGTTACCAGTACTATTACCCTCCTATGTCTCATCCAAGTGACAGTGCAGACTACCTGCAGTAAGATTAGCTCGTGATTATTTTCCACAAAGTCGTTTTTATGATGTTCTGTTCTCCGTTTACCGCGATTGAGTACAGAAACTAAATTAGTGCGGATTCTTTGGTCTGGGGTAGCAAAAAGGTTTCATTTCCCAAAACCTTTTTATTTTAGATAGGAATGAATATTATGAAGATATAAAAGTAATTAAAATAAAAACAACATGGAAGTCCACACATTAGCGGAATACATAGTTGGAAATGATGGGGATAGAACCTCAGATAAGAACCTATCAAATGAAGCATTTGCCGACAAACTATATAAAATTGATTCGGATCCGAAGATAATGAAAGAGCGGCCATGGAAGAAGGATGCAAAGTATTTTAAAAAGGTATACATTTCGTCGTTAGCGTTAATTAAAATGACATTACACGCAACTTCGGGAGGCTCAATTGAGATAATGGGTATGATGACAGGAAAGATCACTGAAGGATCTATAGTTGTAATGGATGTGTACCCACTTCCTGTGGAAGGTACTGAAACAAGGGTGAATGCACAGGCAGAAGGATATGAGTATATGGTACAATATCTTGAGCAGCTGAAGAGAGTCGGAAGGAATGAACACATAGTTGGATGGTACCACTCACATCCTGGCTACGGTTGTTGGCTTTCCGGTATTGACGTAGCGACACAGAGCCTCAACCAGAATTTCCAGGACCCCTATTTGGCAATTGTAGTAGACCCATTGAAGACCAAATCACAAGGAATTGTAGACATTGGTGCTTTCAGGACCTATCCTGAAAATAATCGGAATAAAACCAGAAACGAAGGCAAGCTAGATAATAGAAAGTTGCCCAAAGAAAAACGACAAGATTTTGGAGCTCATTATGAAGACTATTATTCTTTAGACGTAGAGATATTCAAATCAAAGAATGATAGAAAGATTATAGATTTATTGTTGAAAAAATCTTGGAGATCGGGATTACTTCTGATAAGTGAAAGTGGCCGAGAAGGTGACGAAAGTGTTACTAAAGTTAATGAAATGATTGAAAAAAGTAGAGGAAACCTAGCATCTCATCAGTTGCATGTAATTGAAAACACGCTTTTGAAGAAATTTGAAAGAAATTATGAGGATGAAATGAGGGAGAAGCTATTGAAGAATAGGGGAAACTCACTGATATGGTTCAATGTTGAAGATACTAATGAAGATGAGGATGAAGAATTGAGCGACGAGAGCGACTTGGAGGTTGAGCAAGATGATAGCGCAACCCTAGATGTGTCAGATATTGATGTGGATGATGCAATGTCTATGGATAGCACCAATGTTGGGCCAAGGAACAAGAGGAATGACTCCGACATTGAAGACGATGATCTAGATGGCGAACATACACCGCAGTCAAGTAGCGCGAGTGGAAGTTTGGGAGCAGAGAGTGATTTCCCGAAAAGCATGAGACTACGCAAAATCCAAAGACGGAAAATTGGTATAAAGTATGAGATGGGAGGTTCTAGGGGGCAACTACTTAGGAAACACCAGCATTACCAACAGCAAATAAAGCAACAAAATGTACTGAGACGCCTGCAACGAGACTTGGAGCAGAATTTGCAAGGCAGTCCACTGGAGAACTTGAGCTATCCACAATCTGTTCGCGGAGAACATGAGTTGAAGGATGCAAGAAGCAGAGCTTGCAATGAAATCCAGGCACTTGGAAACCAAGTTGGATTGAGCTCTATAGAATATTTGCTAACATTACGAGCACAGCAGAAGATTTTTGGAGCCGATAAATGAAAGAAACATGAATGAAGAGAAAAGTAGTCTTCTGTGTTGGTTGATACTTAGCTAATAAATGGAAAAAAAAGAACATGACTATAAAAAGTTGAAGAGTAGTCTACTATGTATGTAGCTTCTTATGCAGATCAGTAGAAGAAGAGCATATACAGAGCAGATATAGAGCAGATATAGAGCAGATATAGAGCAGATATAGAGCAGATATAAAGTAATTAAACACATGATTTTCGAAACCGTGGGAATGAAAAGAAAAAGAAAACCAACCGTTAGGTAGATTCTCACGTAGATCAAATATTAGAAGAGCATATCTAGAGCTTATGTAAAGTAATAGACTAAATGACCAGTCCGTATACTTCCCTTCTGGAACAAGCACGTGACCGATACAACCTTTTTGTGCACCTTCGATGCGAAGAGCTTCACAGAAAATCAGGGCAAAAAAATGCAAAAAAGAAAAGCCAAAAAAAAAAAAAAAAAATAAAGGATGCTTGCCAAACTTTGGAACTTCTTTTTTGGCAACATAAGCTTTAGAGAAGCACAAGAATCTCAACACAGACCTATAGATATCTTTCAATATCTGTTTCCGTATCAGCTGAAGCTACCTAGAATCACCACTGCTACCCTGTTGACTCTGCCTTGTTTTGTTGTATCCTTTCGTTGAGCACAAACTTCCACCCCCCACTTTACCTTCAACACATACGCATCGCTTCTGGCACTGTTGATCGCGGCAAAAACGAAGGAAAAAGGCAGTAGAGGAAAAAAGGTAAAAAAAATAACCCAAGCAAAAAGAAAACAAGTACGGATAACGATATCTTGTAGCTATCGATGTCTAAAGGCGCTCTGAACACACTCGCGCCCCTAATAGACCGAATTATATCCAACCCACTTACGTTTGTCCAAGCACGCCAACCAGAGAAGGAAACATCGGATAAGCTGGCAGGATACATTGTACTTAGTAAGACAAAGGCTTTGAAAAAGAAAAGTGTGGACCAGGTACAGGAAAATCAGATAGTCAACCAGAGGCAAGAGCAAGACATGAAGAAGCAACCCAGATCGATGTACGAAGCTGTGCAAGCGTATACGGGGAAGAAGTTTCTCACGAAGGCCGAGAAGAGGGCCGAGAAGAAAAATAAGCAGATCAGGCCGGAGCTTGACGAAGTTGAAGATGTAGGCGAAGAGTTGGGAGAAGATGTGGGTGAGGATGTTGAAGGGTCGAACTCTGAATACGAATCAGCTTCTGAGTTCCCTGAGTCTCCAGAGCAGCCAGCAGGCGCCAGTGAGAGCGAATCCAGCGAGTTACAGGAAAGCAGCACCAGCACCAGCTCTAGTTCCAACGAGGCCACCCCGGCTGCTGAAGCACTGCATGTGGAGCGCGACGACGAGGACGATGAGGACGATGAGGATTTCGATAATGACGTTTCCTCAGAGGAAATCAGTGGGGACGACTTGGATGAAGATGAAGACGAGGACGAAGAAGTCGATGATGAAGCGGATGCAGACACATCCGAGTCGGAATCTGCTGAAAAATCTCCATCTCCAGTAGTTGGACATGCTCCTAAAAAGATTGAAGTTCCAAGAGATGCCACCACACCTCCCACTTCCCCAGAAGACCAGGATCAGCTGTCAGAGAAGATTCTACCTGCACTTTCACAGGAAAGCGAGTCCTTGGAGGACTTCTACGGAATAAATGAGAACTCAAACGATAGAGGCTCTAATGGTTCGACTAGAATATACAAAAGTTGGAGAGAATTGTCCAATAGGAAGCCAGTCGGTCTCTTGAATCATGGGGTCACATGCTATATGAATTCTGCTATCCAGGCCATGCTCCACATACCAGCCATGCAACATTATTTGGATGATATTCACAATGGAAAGTACAAGAAAGTTTTAAAGCCTAGGTCAGTCAGCCATGTATTGTCAGAGCTCTCTAGACGCATGTGGGGCCTCGAAGATGGTAGTGGCAATAGTTCTTCTCCAAACAAAAAGTCTGGAGCAGCACCTAAGTTCATTAACCCAAAGAAGATTATTCAGAGGCTCGGAGATATCAATTGTATGATGAGTGAATGGCAACAAGAAGATTCTCACGAATACTACATGTCATTGATGTCCAGATTACAGGAAGATTCAACTCCTAGCGGTGCCAAACTTAACCTGAGTATCTTGTATGATATATTTGGGGGATTATTGCACCAATCAGTCACTTGCAAGAACTGTGGTTCTATCTCTAATACCAAGCAAGAATTCTATGATTTATCTTTAGGATTGAACAAGAAGAGAAACAACAGTTCTAGCTCGGAGACCCAGACCACCGCAACTCAGTCGAAGCCAGAACTTCAAGCACAAAATACTAATTCAGCATACCCAGCATCAGACAAACTCACTGTTGACAATAACATCAACACCAAAGTCAGTGATTATAATAGCAGCAACAATAATAATAACACCAACATCAACAATAACAATAACAATGCCAATGCCAATACCAATACCAATACCAATACCAATAATAACAGTACCAATAGTGGCACTAACCACGCATTACAGAAGTATTCAATTGAAAAGTCCATTAAGGATTTCTTTTCATCTGAGCTTATCAAGATTGACAAACTGGACCCAAGCTCAGGGTACGTTTGTGAAAATTGTAAGCAAAGAACGAACGCAGTTAAAATCAGTACCATAGATAGAGCCCCTGAGACATTAACCGTGCACCTTAAAAGATTTAAGTTTAACGGGAATTCCTCATCCAAGATGAAGCAACCAGTTTCATATCCTAAGTATTTGGACTTGTCACAGTTTTCAACCTCGCTTTCCCCAACCAAGTACCAATTGACCTCCGTTATTGTTCACGAGGGTAGATCTATCCTGAGTGGACACTATGTGGCACATTGCTTACAGCCTGATGGTTCATGGGCCAACTATGACGACGAATACATAAATAAGATCAATGAGAGGGAAGCATTGAAGGACCCGTCTGCATATTTCTTAGTTTACACTAGATTAACACATAAGCTGGCTGTGAAGAGAAAGAACGAACAAGCAGTGGGGGCAAACAAGAGGCAAAGAAAATAGATTAATGTACATTAGATTACCGAACAAGCAAAGTAGAATAATAGCAATGTAGCCATGCTTTGGACATGCCTGTAGCGAACCTGATGGAATCGTACTTGTGTACGCAGGCTTGTAGTGAATCTCAAGTAGGTTACTACTGATTTATAACCCTCTGCCAGTGTTGTGCTAGGACGATAAACGAGGATTCATCACTTCACCACTTCTCCAGCAGGAGCAGCTTTACACACCGATCAGATAAAGAACATTAATTAAAGACTATGTACTAGAGTATGTGCAACCGACAAACCAATCCAGACAACCAAACAACAACCAAACAACCGAGAACAGTTCAAGTAAAAAGAACTGATATATAAAAAGCAACAACAAGATAAACCAACTCATACCAAAACAATTCTATTATAAAATAGCAAAGGATAACCAAAAGAGATATAAAAGGGAAATAAATAATATGTTAATGTGCCATGTGTGCACACTAGATTCAACAAAAGGGGAAAATGGCGAGAACTAAAAGTCTATGATAATAATGTAGATGACAACGTATGGGTCATAAGCATATCGCTGATCTCACAGCAATTGCTAGTCCACTATCGCTTCATCTTCAATATCTTCCAACTTCTCATCCAAGTTTCTAAACCGCAATCTACTCAAAAAGCTTTCGTCCGACTCGGTGTGGAAGGTAAGATGATTTATCCTAGGTTTGTTCCCGATTGAATGTGTGGGGGAAGGATTCTCGAACCTGAATGAGTCGTCTTCATTCTCAGAGGAGAACGATGAGCTTTTAACAGAATTTGCAGCCGACGACCGACGACGGTTTCTCTTCATGTTCTCCAAGAGCGTAGCAGTGGAGCTGTTGTTGGCTATAGTTTTGATGAATTTCTCTTCAATTACAAACTTGCCCTCCTTGTAGGATTCCTGATCTTCGTATGCCTTTCTATATACCCAACCCAACTTGGTAGAGCATTGGTGGCACCTAACGTTACAAATCAAATAGGTTCCGGTGCGCATATTGGTTTCCACAGCTTCGGAGTCTGGGTGGTAATTGATAAGCTTATCAACGAGGTATGCAGGGCCAGAGGACCCGACAAAGTTGTCAGAGAGAATTAACGATGATAGGCACAAGTGTGACGAACACGTTCTACAGATGATGATTTGCGTGTCTTCCGCCTCATAGGATGAGTTTGAGAAGAAATGCGTTTGCTTCAAGCCCATGGCGAAGTACTGTACTTGCAAAAAGTAAAGTGATATATGAACTGGGAGATAGATAAATTAAAAGGGTATTGCTTTAATTTTGCTTAAGACTTTTGTATTTAGACAACACACCGCTTTGCCTTCTTTCCTTCTACCTGTGTAATTTTTGTTATTTTGCTTTTGTAATAATTTCCTTGTACTTATAAACGTTATCAGTTGATAAGGGGGCGAGTTAGCTACTTATAAATAAATGCTAAACCCTCTCCTATACAGCAGTTAAAATAAAATCAAAGACAAAACTGGGCAAAAGAAAAAAAGGGCAAACCAAAAAAAAAATACGCTACAGCTAGCCTATTAAATAGGAACGTGGAAATGTTAAAAGAGTGACGGTGGGGAGAGTGTAACCAAAAATGTTAAGCGTTTAATAGTACTATATTAGTCACAGATTAGGGTGTTTAGGTGTGGGAGACCCCAGTAAATGGGCAGGAAAAAAGAAAAAGTTACGCAATGTAGGTACGATTTTAGGAGGTTTTAGCGCAGTTTAACGTAATCAAAATGCAACCTGTGCTACCAAGATATTAATTAAGAAAGGGAAATAAGATAATGAAATAGCCAGGGAAGGAACAGTGGAACAGCAACCCAAAAACCCAGATTGGCCACACGGGAATACAAGCACCAGATAGGGTTGAATAGCATAGTAGTGTTAAATAACAATCAAAGCATTACCTCGATAAACAATTAAAAACAGACAAAAACACACTTTAAGCCAATTAGGCTATAATAGGAACATAGCTCGTGCAGAGCCCTCCCCAGAAAAAAAAAAGGAAAGACAAGGAAACGGAGCAAGATGAGCACTAGCAAACGAAAAGAGGAAATAGATAAATAGCATTCACCTGAAACAGGTAAACACCTCATCAAACGGGGGCACTCACCTGTACCAAAGTATTCTTGCATGCTAGTCGCTAGGTGCTAGCTCGCCATACAATACACTCTCCTTCCACCCTGGTTCTTGTTGCACATAATATAAAACATTCCAACATTCCTATTTAGTAGTACATTATTTTTAATCTCCATACATGCAAGCCTGTGAACTGTGGATTAGCTATTTACCTCGGGAAGGAAAGTGTTACCCGATTCCATTTACAATACCATCTCATCGCAACAAATCCCACGAATGACTCTGCAAATACGTTACCAGATAAGGGGGGATAAGTGCGACTGATCATTTTAAAATGTAAGTTAAAAATATTTATCGGTGGTTATAGTAATCTGAGCACTCACTTCACGTAAGACCGAATCTCGTATAAAAGATGGTGTACTGGTACGACGTAAATTTGTATTTATATTGAACCCAGTCCAACCCAAGTCTAACCCAGCTTTGGCTATTTAGAATTCTAACCCCTATACCGTAATTGCTACCTATAATTGATGGTGCCTGTGTGCATTCGGGAGGGGCGTCTATGTTCTTGTTGTACCTCTCCTAAAATTTCCCTTTTGCCCTGGAGGTCCCGTGATCTCTTCAAGTCCTTTCTCATAACTGTAACCACTTAAAGCATAGCACTACCAGGATAGTTGGAGTATTGGCCCAGACTATAACTCTCATCCTCTTACATACTTTTGCTACAGTTCTGCACTTTATAATATACTTTTCTATTTATATATATATTGTATGTACATACATTAGCACTATTTACACATTTTCTCTCTACTTCAGTCTTCCTGCTCTTTGTATCTAAGACCCCTCTCTATATAGGAACCTCTCCGCTTGCAAGAGATAGGCAGAAAATAAAAGGAATTGGCTGGTGGCACATGGGTGTCTCACACACTGTATTATCAATCCATTTAGGGTCCTTTCGCTGCTATATCCGGCTTCTTTTCGCTTCTTCTTCGTCTTTCTCCCTCTATTAACCGTTTCTTGTTTTCCATTAATCTACCACTTATAGAATGACTTCACTCTGAAATTTAATGGCTCGTTGTTCAAAATCATCTTAGGCTTACTATTTAATTCCTTTTGTTCCTTTTCCCACTTCAATCTATTCAAAGTTTGCTCGGTCTTTAAAATGGCCTTGACGTGAATGTGCCTGTGGTGCAACACACCTACACGACCACGTCCCTTAACGTCCGGTCTTCTCATGGTATCACCATCCGATCCAGACCAAACTTCTTGAATATACAATTTATTATCGTCGTAACCCTTGCTTCTGGCCAACTCCAAGCCTTCTTTTAATAATTTTTCCAATTCAGTTGCCATTTTCTTTTGGTTGAAGTGTAACTGAGTTATCGCAGTCTTAACATTATATCCTCTTACAAATCTATTAACTACGGTAGCCTTCTTTACAGAAGATTTTATTCTCAAAGATTGCAAATAAATACTTGGTTCCAAGATTTCAATCTCTCTGTTGGAGAGTGAAAGTTTGTAAACCTTGTTTGTTTCTGGATCCTTGACAACCTGATTGTTTTTGTAGAATCCATTGGTAGCTACATTTAAATCAAATAATTTACGTTTTAAAGGTGTTACAAACTTTTCAATTGCGATTTGGTCCCTTTCTGCGGCTTCGAGGTGGTATTTTTTCAACTCTTCGTCGTCTTTAGGCAATGTGGAAGCTGGTGATGTCTCATTTTCTTGGGAAACACTAGAATTTTCTTGCACTTGTGGTGTTGAATTCTGTGGAGCCTTGGTCAAATCTCCAAAAATCGATGTATCATTGAGAAGTGGAAACGAGTATGAATGAAAAGACTTCCAGACACCGTTTGAAAGGAAAGTTGGTTTAATAGAGTTAGATATAACTCTAGAAGGTAACTTCCACATCATTTGCTCAGGAAATTCAAAGACCTATTGATGATATTCTTAGTCGAATAGTTGTTGTACTTCTATTCAATGAAGAATTTTTCAGGCATACGCAAAAAAAAAAAAAAAAAAGTTGAAAACGAAAATTTGGAAAGCTCGCTTACATAAGCTACAGGAAGACACACTTAAAACACATTAGAAACATCCACAGGACTAGGCTAAGCTCAGTCTTATTCAGTGCTAGGCGCCTACTCACTACATTCACTACGAAGTTACTGCTGATTTCTGATCATTTTTATATTTTATTTTGTGATGGACACTTCTGCCTCAATCTATGACTAAAACAAGATACCTTGCTATATGTAAAAATTTATATTATCTATTCTGCCACCTAGACCACCTAGGCTACCATCTTCCATCCCCTACTCATTTGCAACTTGCCTACTCATCATCATATCCTGACAAATTGGCATCTCTTGCTCTGGTTGGCAATGGGTATACTTGTGGAATAGGTTCGTGGTCTGCATATAAGAACTTTCTTCTTAATGGGGCTACGAATACAATGAGTAAAGGTGCAGATAAACCTAAACCAATTGAAGCTACGAAGTGTGGTTTGGTATGAGCATGATAACGTATCCACTGTGAAGCTTGTTAGTAAACCAATAGAAAGAAAAAGAGCAACCAAAAAGAAAATAATTTCTGAAACTAGAAGAGTTTGGACAGTATATAATTCAATACGAATGCGAGTTTGAACCAACTCTGAATCAAGTACGAAACAACAGTCAAACCAAAAAATGGAGAAAAACTTCTCGGGTACTTACTCTAAGTGGTTGTTTATAATATAATGGGTAGTCTCCCCAGACTTTATCGGCAGTCATAATGTGTACGCTAGTATATCAAATTGACTTAAGGTGTTTGTGTAGGCATTTTTTAGCTTTCTTTTTCAATTTGTTTAAAAGTTGGTCTAATTGGTGAGAATTGGGTTTGTGTAAGGTGGGTATATACAGGAATGCTTAGAGTGAAGATTACAGTCCAATGAACGAAGGCACCTAGGTGGTCAGCTCCCTGCTCCAGCCTGTTCCCGCTTGTTATGAAACCATATACAAAACCGGCCATACTGGAGAGCAGACTGAGGAAGAGTGAAAAGCTAAGGGTTCTATGGGGCAGTACACATAATGTATCGTGTGCCTTCATGTAGCCGACGGTTGTCTACATGCAGGAACGCAACATCGATCAAATTTCCAAGCTCCCTCCATCACCGCCAATGCTTAAGCCAGTGCCCAGCTTACAAGCAACTAAGCGCTACAAATATCATTAAGTGCTCAATTTACTGTTCTCTATTAGAAGAAACTAGAAGTTTTTATCTTTTTTATACATGTGTGCTAGGGATTGTTGACTCCCCTCCTCTCTGTCATTCGCTCCACGATTTGGTCTTTCTGGTCCATCTCACAGTCGATGTCTTGCTCTTAGCGGCACCGGTGGTGCTGCTGATGCTGGACCCACACCTTCAGCACTCGCTCCACAATTGAGTTCTCTTTCTGCTTCATGTCCTTCTCTCAACGGCACCAGCGTCCTTAGTTCAGCACCTGGCCCCACAATTTCAGCACCCGCTCCACTATTTCGTTTTCTTGGTCTTTTTCACGGTCGATGTCTTGCTCTTAGCAGCACCAGTGGCCTTAGTTGCAGCAACTGGCTCCACAGGTTCGGCCTTCGCAGCCTTGGTCTTGGTTGGGGCGGGAGCGCTAGCAGCAGCTTCAGCTCTCTTCTGTTCAAACGCAGCTTCTTGCTCTAAAAACTCTTTCTTGATCTTTTCATCGTACCAAGTGGCATAGTACAAACCACCTTGCATAGTCAAAACACCAACCAAAACCAAAACAATCATAATTTGAGATGCAGCCATCACATTGATCCCTGTAGGCATATCGACTTCACCCCAACTATCATAGAGACATGAATTGACACCGGTTCTCAAGTTGGTCAAGTAGATAATAAATGATAACACGTATAATCCCAAAGTTCCGTATTCGAAATAGGTAGCCTCATCGTTTGGCTTGTACAACTTGATGAAACATCCAATAAGTCCCAAGACGAACACTCCGTGTAAGACATAATGGACATACATAGGGGTGTTAGCCCAGAGAATGTAGTGGGCCAAGGATCTTTCGAAATTCTGACCACTAGGGTCGTACTGGAAGAGAGTAGCCTGATCGTAAGGAGCATTACCGTAGATAACACCCAACCCAAAAGAAGTAGCTGCGATGATGAGTCCAGTTCCAATAGGAACAATGTCTTTGTAAGCAATGTAAGCCATTTTTCTCGGTTCAATTAACTTCAGAACAAGTGGATAGCCTGGTATATACACAATCAGAAATATTTCCAACTGCCTTTATATCCTTTTTTTCTTCCAACTCTTCAACGTTGGACAACGTTCACTGATAAGATGGCGAATGGCTATCAAGAAAAATGAGGAAAAAAGAAACTGCACGGCGGTTTTATGTGCAGGAGCACTGATTGCAGCAGTTGCTGCAGTTGGGCTAGGCAGAGGAGATGGTGGAGGGAGGTGCGAGGCAGAAGGATGAAGGCAGAGGAGCGTGGAGTGGAAGATGTATACGTGTGTGTCTACGAAGGGGACTTTAGGGCATAATGTGTGCAGTGTAGTGGGTGCTGTTTCAGGGGACCTTCGTGGAGTGCATATAAGCCACTGCTGGATCTGTTAGGCGTTAGGCTGAGAGCGCAGAGATTGAGCGCCAGAGATTGAGCGATGCAGAGATACGACTAGCGAAAAAAGAGAGAGAAGGCGGAGGAAGAGAAGGCGGAAGAAGAGATAGCGGAAGAACAGCAATGGCGGCAAGAGATTACAGAATTTGAGCCTGAGTGTGCCAGAGTGTGCCAGAGTGTAGATCTGCGTCGCACAACCAAAGCAAGCAGACTAGAGCGAAGCAGTGCGGTGTATTTATGTGCATTTCAGTGCATTGTAGGCGAGTTAAAAAGCCCACTGCATGCCTTCTATGCTTTCCCCTCTTGCTGATCATCAGGCTGACGAATTTTTCGATACTTTAATTTTCTGATATTTTTTAGCTTTTTGGTAGCAGTGACGATGAGACTGACCCGATTGAGCACTGGCATCCTGTACCACCAAAAAAGGTATTTTGTTCAACTCTTCAATTCTCTCGTTATCACTTAAGCATGAGAAGTCTTAAATCTGTTATCGTCGGAGACGGTGGGGTTGGTAAAACGTGTATGTTGATCTCCTACACCACCAACAAATTCCCTACCGACTATATTCCAACAATCTTCGGTAGCTACTGCCCAACTGTGATGATAAACGGAGAGCCGATAGTGTTGGGATTGTGGGATACTGCTGGACAGTCAGAATACGATAATTTAAGGCCCTTATCTTACCCGCAAACGGATTTTTTTCTTTGCTGCTTCTCCGTTGTAAGTCCTACTTCGTTCTCCAACGTGACAAACAAGTGGATACCTGAAATATATCACCATGGCCCGAAAGATATCCCGGTTTTATTGGTTGGCACCAAAACTGACTTGAGGGATGAATCCCATGTGCTGCATGAGTCGCATGATGAGCACTTGGAGCCTATTCTGTACGAACAAGGCGTGAAACTAGCCAAGCAAGTGGGAGCAATTGGCTACCTTGAATGCTCTGCTGTCACACAAGTGGGTGTGAAGGAGATTTTTGACTTAGCTCTCAGAGCTGTGTTGGAGCCTGCAAAGTAAGATGCCAAGCTGCTTAGGAGTTCTACTGGTGATTTCCCGCCGCTAGCGTGACGAATTTTTCTACACCTTAATTTTTCGATATTTTTTATCTTTTTCGGTAGCGCTGACGATGAGCCTGAACCGATTGAGGGTACAGGGTTCGACTCAGGAAGAAGAGGAACGGTAGCAGGCAGCAGCTCGTAGTTTTGCTAGCAGTTTAGCTCAGCTTAGCTTAGCTGAACTGCTTTGCTGAGCTGTCGCATTGCTGCAAATTGCTCTCAACGGTAGATGATGAGATCATAGCAAGCTCCCAGCCCAATTAAGCTTTACACATTCTAATTCAGTACACCTTGTACCAGCTGACACTGGTGCTCACCCAGAGTGTTCCAGCCGCTGAGCTTACAAGAAAAGTAGGGCAAAAAAATAAATAAAGAAAAAAAAAAAAAAAAAACATTCCGCTGTAGTGCCTCCCCAAATTGAGAAGCAGCCTCAGTCATAAGACGCTTGAACACTGTGCAGAACAGCAGTACAGCAAGGCAGGCTGCAGCTGTACAGTGCACCAGAAAGCACCATTACCTTCAGCAGCAACAGCAACAGCAACAGCAGCAGCAGCAGCAGCAGTACCACTGTGTGACTTTACGTGAAAAGAGACTGAAACCACACTACACACTTTTCACCTCCCCTAGCCCAGTCTCCCCTTCTCGCCCACCTCTCATGTTCTCAGCTGTTTAACTTTTTTGACGATACCACCAGCACTGTCATTTTCCGACCTGCACATAGCACACTAAAAAAAAAAAAACTCAAGTTTTTTCCTCATCCAAAAAAAAGAAAAAAAAATCACAACACAATAACCTCAAACCAGCTTCCTACCCTTCTTAAACACACCGCTTGGCTAGTATTTAGATAAACAAGTCTTCGTTTGCTTTTCGTTATTAGTTCGTAGCTTTTAAATCAGTATTATAGTTTTGGATTCCCAGCTGTTCGCACACTCCCTGGACCAATAAAAAAAAGTATTTTTGTTCAGCTTTTCAATTCCCTCGTTTATCCCTGTTTTTAAAAGTGCCACTTAGCTATGAGAAGTATTAAATCTGTTGTCGTTGGAGACGGTGGGGTAGGTAAAACGTGTTTGTTGATCTCCTATACCACCAATACTTTCCCTAACGATTACATTCCAACAGTTTTCGATAACTACTCCGCATCTGTGATGATAGACGGAGAGCCAATAAAGTTGGGATTGTGGGATACCGCCGGACAGTCAGAATACGATAGATTAAGACCTTTGTCTTACCCACAAACGGAAATTTTCCTTTGCTGCTTCTCCGTTATAAGTCCTACTTCATTCTCCAACGTCACAAACAAGTGGATACCTGAAATATATCACCATTGCCCGAAGGATATCGCCGTGTTATTGGTTGGTACCAAGACTGACTTGAGAGATGAGCCTCATGTGTTGGACGAATTGCATGATAAGAACTTGAAGCCTATTCTGTACGAACAAGGGGTGAAATTAGCCAAGGAATTGGGAGCAGTTGCTTACCTCGAGTGTTCTGCTGCCACGCAAGTGGGTGTGAAGGAGATTTTTGACTTTGCTATCAGGGCTGTGTTAGAGCCTGCAAAGGAAGATACCAAGGTTGTTGAGAGTTCTGCTGGTAATGCTGCCGCTAGCGGTGGAAACAAGGCATCTAATGTCCAACAGAACAATGCAGCCAGCTTGCTGCAGAGAAGAAGAAGAGTCAAGAAGGCTAAGAAGTGTACCATTTTGTAAGAGGCCACCCCTAATCAAAGAAGAAGAAGAAGCGGTTCTCTTCTGAACCAATGCGATTATCTCCATAGGGAGAATTATGTTGCAGCTATTTTCAGAAGGATACAAGACAAAAGTAAATGGACATTGCCATTTTATTAAAATGTATTTACCCACGGCAAGCATCAGTCCCTTCAATTCCAATTCCATGTCTTTCACCCAACAGGTGAGGCTATTTTTGTGGTGTAACTAATATCCAACCAAGTCATTTTAGATGTTGTACGCTGTTGTAAGTGTTTGTTCCATCGTTTTTCAGATTGTACCATTATATTTAAATAAATTTATTTTGGCATGGCCCGCCATATTTTGCTAATTCATTACTTTAATATTATTATTTAAAAAGAGACCGAGATGTAGTTGTAGGGAACACAAGAGACAGGTAGGCATGGCAGAGGGACGTAGAGCGAATGAGAGAGAGAGAGAGAGAGAGAGAGAGAGAGAGAGAGAGAGAGCAGTTGTACGTAGAGTTATGTATTTGTACTAATGAAACTACTTGCTATGCATGTGCTATAATGAAGTTCTACTTCGTTTGGCAGCACTCGGGCCCGCTGAATGCGAGAACTCAGCTTGACCTGAATATGCTGGGAAGACGCTCGAGGTATAGAGGAGTTGAGTTCTCAGGAACTCGGCTCGGCACAGAGACCTCTTCTCATCTAGGTCAGATCAGCTCACGGAGCGGGCTAATCCAGAAGGGGAGCACTATGTCAGAGGACACTACCCCAGAGAGAGACACCGCGTTGGAGAACACAGTGTAGGAAAGTACTCCCTTGGAGAACACTCGCAACGGAACCCTTTGTCGGATAAATTCGACTACCCTAGTTGATCAATGCTGCTCTGGATGGATGGATGGATCCACTGTTGTTTTCCTTTTTCCTGTTCTTGATACTCTCCTCCTTGATTCTGGTTCTTCTCTCTTCCAACAACTTTTCATTCTTGTCCTTCAACTTTGTCTTTCTGTTCTCAGAGTTACCACCACCGCCTACAGTCAACTCAACGTTAATCTTTCTGAACTTCAACGTCGAGTGGTGCAATCTTAAAGCCAATTCCATCTTACTTTGGATCTCTTGGGTATCGTTATCGAATTCCAAGAACGCTATGCCCTTGTCTTGTCTTATTCTGACTCTGTCTGGCTTGGAACTCTTGAAGTGGCCCAAGATCTCCTCCTGGGTAATATCGTATGGCAAGTTTCCAACGAACAAGATGAACCTGGGCCCCTTTCCGCCGTTGACACCTTTACCTTTCTTGCCTCTTCTAGTCTTACGTTTCTTAGGAGCATCTTCGGAACCCTCGGCGGCAGTTTCTGGAGCGTCCACGCTGGAACTCACTTCCTCTATCTTTCTCTTCTTGGAATCCTTCTTCTCGTCTTTCTTGTCATCTCTCTTTTCTTCCTTCCTCACCTTCTTAGTCTCTTCCTTTTCCTTTTTGAGCGCTTCAGTTTCTTCCTTACTCTTACGGAATTCTAAAGCCTTTCTTTGCTTCTTGGTCAACTTTTCTTCTGCCATGGCTGCTGCGTGAATTGTATCTACAAGAAGCTGATACACAAGCACTGCTTCAACTCTTTTGTGCTCATCTCATCACCGATTTTTTTTTTTTTTTTATGCACGCTCGTTTTTTATTTTTAGTAGTGACGATTGAGTTCCCCACCATTGATCAGTTGGACTGTGACACTCCTGAGCCGAAAGGATCTTCTTGAGAAGAAGTGGTATATAGGATAGTGTTGTTCAGCTAGTTAAGTGATTTCGGTTAGTTTAACAGGTTTTGGCTTTTGTCCCTTTTCTTAGCGTTACTCATTGAGCTATGAGAATTAATTTAGGTGATGATATCCCTGACTCCAAGTCATCGCACTCTCCAAGATCCAGATCGAGACTGCCAGACTCGCTTTCCACACAGGCCGAATCTTCGTATAGAGAGAGGTCGCAGGAAAGAGGAATTGATAAGGTGCGCAAATCCGGGCTTTACAGGAACAGCAATAACTCCGTGGAAGACTTAGCTTTGGCCAGTGCTGCTCAAGGTGCAGGCAAGGCTCAGGAACAACCTGAGCGAGGTAGATCCAAGGAGAGAGTAAGAAGTATACAACGTGGAGATGACCCTACTCAAGCTGCCCCGGCAATTACGAAGCAAGAGGGAGAGGAAGACCCAGACGAAGAGGAAGATCCCAATATGATCAGCTTGATGGGCTTCACTGGGTTTGCAAGCACAAAGGGTAAACAAGTGAAGGGTGCCAAAGGTGGAGCAGCAAAGAAAGAAAAGAAGACCGAGTATCGCCAGTACATGAACAGAACCAAGGGATTTAATAGACCATTGTCTCCAACAAGAGGCGATAAGTAAGAACGAAGCGTTTCTTCCATACCGTTTCTTCCATGAGGAAAAGCTATAGCTATGGTGAATGTATCAGTAGAGTGAGCGTATCGCTAGCACAGACCCAAGTGGCCATTGACAAAGAGCGATAAGCAATCTGCTGTATGACACAGTATAGGGATAGCGATGGTGAAGGGATTTGTCGATATAGTACAGCCAACACGTGCACAGAACCAGGCTGCTCATTGGGCCATAGCTTCCAACAAGATGTGAGAAGCACTTAAGCATCTTTTAACGAGGAAGCGGCGTAAAGATAATCACGGTGAATGTATCCATGGAGTGAGTGAGGGAGATGAACTGTATGACTGTATGGCTCCATGGTTGATTGGTATTGTTACTGAGCTTACGAAAGTGGTTGTACTTTAGGATTGTATATTAATAAATGATTATGAAATTAAATGCTAGTAATATTGTAAGAAGCACCTACAACATCTTCTGGTGCTCTTGATACAACTCTTCGTGCTTGCTTCTCAAGTCAGTATATGCCTTAGAAACCTTTGCAAGCTTTTCTTCCAATTCTTTTACCCTGTCGGCATCTTTGCTATCGCCGATCACCTTAACAGTAGAGTTGACCTTTTCAACGTTATTCTTATATTCTAACTCTTGGTTAGACTTCTGCAACAACCAATCTTCAAATGAGCTTCCATCTTGCTCCATGGCAGATGGGATCTCCATGTATAAATTGTGCTCAATTGGGTCGGAGCTCGCTAAGACTCTCTTGAAAGGAGGGATTAAACGGTGATGCTTGTCAACCTTTGTCAAACCTGCTGTGGATGAGTCGACTAATTCAACAGGGCAAGTGTCAACCTGTATGTACGAGATAGGTGAATTGCATTCCTTAAGAGTCTGCACCACTTGCTTGGTTGCAATGTCTGAAACAAACACTCTCCCAACTGAATCTCCCGAAACAAGGTTGGTACCATCCATAGAAACAGCCAAGTTGGTAACGGATATGCTCGCGTGGTTCGTGCTGATCAGCTGCTGGTGATGGACGAATGTGTTGACCAAATTAGGATCATGGTCGAGGGTGATAATCTTCTCACAACCCCCAATACTCTCCAACACGGAAGTGTTGGGGTTCACCTGGTAGAGCGGAACTACTCTTATCAACCCATTGGACAATCCAAGGTAGCATGCTCTATTAGCGGGGTCTTTCGTTATCGATTCAATTGATATGGGCAAAACGAACGTGGTGAGCAACAGCTTAGTCATTATATCATAAATTCTTAAAGTGGAGTCCCTAGACACCGTGTAGAGTCTGATATCTGGTAAGATTCCTGTTTCGGATATCACCAAATCGGATACTGCTAAGGAATGATCTGTGAAGGTAGCATATGGTCTTACTGATGCCAATCTGTTGGCTTCCTCTGACTTGTTATAAATAGAGATCAAATCCAAGGTTCTCCAGATGGCAACTCTGGAATCTTCACCCCCGGTCACCAAAAAGGTGCCACAGCTGGAGAACTTGATAACAGAGATAGCCTGGTAGTGTGCATCTTTCACGCAAAGCAAGTTCCCTGAAGACAACTCCCATATGTACACCTTCCCAGATTTGGAACCAGCAGCTAACAACCAGGGCAACCTGAAAGATGGGAGGTTACTACTTCCACCATTGGCAGAGCTGAACCCTTGGTTAGGGTGCTTACACAAAGTCAAACAGGACAACTGTTCAGGCACTGGTATTCTTTGGTCCGGGCTTTCTTTTCCCCACAGATACACCAAGAGCAACGCCTTATTCCTGGAAGCGGTAAACAATCTTTCTCCGGCTCCCAAACCTGTCAAAACGGCCCCTTTCTGTGGAGCATCGCATTGTCTGAAGGAAGCGAAGAGCTGCGAGTTGTGGATTGACGTGGAAAGCGCAAAAGACTCCTGCGAATGCTTATCGTTGGGATCCCCCTCGGATATGTAAAAGACTGACTCTTCCATGCTATAGATACTGGGCTATTTGAGTCAAACAGGAGGCTAGGAGGGACAGCTACTGAAAAGTTTGGATGAACAGAGTGAAAACTCGAGATGCCATGTCTGCTGCACGTATGCAGGCGATGAGCTGTGTGTATGCAGGAACAAGAAGCTGGATTTTTCACTGTGTGCGAAGAGAGCGATGGTGATATGTGGAGCATGGGACAGCTGTAGAAGTACTGGATGGGGTGGAATTCTGGCATTTGGACTAAGTTGGGTTAGATAACGAGCTTGATATCGAGCTGGAGTTTGGCATTTTCTGACTTTCTGGATCTTTCTGACCTTTTTTCTGTTATTCTGGTGCCTACTCTGGCTCTTCTTTGCTAGCGATGGAAACCTGCGGCCGATTCACGCGCCAATTTGCAGATGATCTCGGTGGGCTCTCGGTGGGCTCTCAGTACTAGAATCTAGCTACTCCGACACGCAATGGCTACCCCAAGGCCACCGCTGCTTGACCGAAAACACCACACCAGCACCAACTTGCCCTGCTATTTCGCAATTTTGCATCTTTCTACCCCAACACCCCTCCTTATCTCTTCACCTCCATCATCGTGACCTGCATGGACAGCTGCAACTTCTATGGAGTTCCATTCCTCTCGCCAATTTTTCAGCAGCATCTTTGGGAGACCGCGTTCTTTTCAACAGTGCCTCTTTTCTTCATAGACAGTGCTTCTTTCTTCGTAGACTGCTTCATTCGTCATAGATATACTATTAAGCGAGCATGCCTATTAACATAATCGGAGCTATGCTCATCGACGGGCCCGATGTCCTCCCGGGCTGGTCATACATAAAAGCCTATGGACCAGCCGTGGCGGCCATCGGTGCCTTGAAGTACTACTTCGGAGGCTCACAAAACACTTGGGAAAGAGACATGCATGGTAAAGTTTTCATAATAACTGGTGGAACCTCGGGTGTTGGAGCTCATGTCGCGTATGAATTGGCATCCAAGGGTGCACAGGTGATTTTGTTGTGTAGGAAAGTGGAAGATCAATGGCTCGTGGACTTCATTGATGACTTGAGAGAAAGTACGAACAACTTCTTGATCTACGCAGAAGAAGGGGACTTATCTTCGTTACATTCCATTAGAAAGTTTGCTACCAAGTGGTTGGATAACTCACCTCCTCGTAGATTGGATGGGATTATATGCTGTGCTGCTGAGTCCGTCCCACCGTATGTGGACAGACAGATCACCATTGATGGTGTAGAAAGACAGATCGGTGTGAACTACTTGGGCCATTTCCATTTGTTGACCTTGTTGAGCCCATCCATAAGAGTGCAACCGCCAGATAGAGACGTTAGAGTCGTTTTGGCTACATGTGCTTCGCAGTCGTTGGGTGAAATAGACCCCGACCTAGCTGACGTATTGTGGCAGAATAAGAGGTACCCTAAAGGCAAGCCATGGAAGGTTTATGGGACATCCAAGTTGATGCTCTCCATGTTCAGTAAGGAATTCCAAAAGAGAATCAGCTTATATGAAAGAAGTGATAAAACTCCATGTAATGTAAGAACCATTTCAGTCAACCCCGGTGTGATGAGGACTGCATCAACAAGAAGATTTTTGTCCTTTGGCTCTGTATTTGGGTTGATTGTGTATTGGCTCTTGTTTCCTATCTGGTTTATACTCTTGAAAAGCGGATCTCAGGGAGCGCAGCTGTTTTTATACTCGATCTATTCAGGAGAGTTTGCGCAAATTGAAGGTGGTAAGTTTGTTCACGAGTGTAGAATAGTGAGTCCATCGAGAAAGGAATTGGCCAACGAAGACTTACAGGGCCTGTTGTATGACAAAACAGAAAAGTTGATTGAACAAATTGAACTTCAATCTGCAAAGGAAAGAAAGAAGAATGAGTTGAAGAATGGGAAGAAGAAGGGTGCAGATAAGAATGAAGAGTCAAAGGAGGCAAATTTAACCACGTCTAGTGGAGCTAAGATTGTGGAAGATGTCTATACAATGCCCAAGACGCCGGAGGAACTTGAAGAAAAGTTGAACATACTTCGTAATGATTTGCTGACGGCTGCAAAGAAGCGCAGTGGAAAGCTGAAAAGGAAGAGCTAGAGTGAAGCTGAGGGAAAATAGTAAGATTGAAGAGGCTGGCAGTAATCGAAGTAGTAGATGAAGCTGAAGAAGCTGAAGAAGCTAAAGAAGCTAAAGAAGCCGAAAACAGCTGAAGGGAGAGAAGTGGCAAGAAGAGCGACAAGCGACTAAAAGCTGTACCAGAAGTAGCTTTAAGAACGACTAGAAAGTATCGATGTTCGAAAGAGGCCCGAGGAACGACAAGAATAGCTGTATCAGAAACAGTGGCTACTCCTTCTTCAGAAAACGAACTTACTTGGCTATCTATATACTAAACCGTACATACCCAAATTAACCGTATAATTCGCAGCATACATATAAGTATCTCTAATCTGATAAGCCTCGATAGCCTAAAGTTGTACACCGTAGTTCCTAGATAAGTACCGCATGAGTTTCCTCTCATCTAACGATAAGAATAGCCTAAAAGAGACTGCAGCTAGTGACTAGCTAACTATTCCAGCATACAGATAAGTACCTTCTCCTCTACAGAAAAACCTTAAGACCTTGAGAAATAAACTACACTTACTAACGAATAAATCGCATGATTCGCAGCATTCAGATAACCACCTCTAATCTACCGATAAGCCCTAAACACCTCTAGATCACCCAGTGTCTAGATATGTTGCACATACAATTTGCCCAACCCCAGCCTTATCTCCAGAAACGGGAGGTTACAGCGAGGTGAAAAATGCGCTGCACGGAAACTCCAAGGTGCTTAAAAAAGAACAAAGAAAGAGAAACCCTAAACTAGCGCTAGCTCTAACGCACCGAGTGCTGGAAGCCTAAAGCGGACGAAAGTATCAGTGATCTCGAGAAACTGGTCGATGGTAGCTAGTATTGACTGAAAACGGTGTGGCCATACAAACAGCCCCTAATGTGGGCAAGTACCTACAAAAGCATCCAATCTCCTAGTACATGACTCGGCGGTCGTTCAGCGGTATTTTTCCGGGGGAAACCCTGTGGGATGAACCCCTCCCATAGGTCGGGAACTCGTGAATCGCTCCTATCTTAGGGGAATAATCGCCCGTAAAAACATCGCAAAAACGAAAAAAAAAAAAAAAAAGAAATCATTTCCAGTGCCCCAGTGTGCCATGCTTGGGCGGTCGCGGACCCACCAACTACCACATTGCTGCTGCAGTTGTGGTGGAACACTCACTCAGTCCATACTGTTGCACGGACCATAATGGTAGTTCCAATTCCACGACAGGCTAGCCCAATATCCACAATTTCACAGCCATTCCATTCCATTTCGGTCTCTCCTCTCCTGCTCGCCCAATACACTCCTCACCTAGAGCCATGCCAACAACGGCGGCTACGGCGAATTGTGTCTCTCCTCTTTCTACCGTCTTTCCTCTGGTCTAACAAATCCACAGTGTCTCGGAAGTCTACGCAGTTCAAATTCGTTCGTCCAGTTAATTGCAAGATAAAAAAGCAAAAAAAGAAAAAAAAAAAATAAAATAAAATAAAAAAGAAATGGTGATTTGATCTTTCGGTCTTGTTATTCCCCTTATCTTTCACAGAATTTCCACGCTTTCTCTCCGTAAAAGGTGAACGATAGTATACAGTGTGGGCACCTCAAGTGGGACTTTTTGTTAGACATTACATACCGCTCACATTTGCACGCATTTGATAACGCTTCAGCTGCTTTCCATACTAAAGAACTGATCTCCCCTAATCAACACCCTGACACCACCAGTTGATAAAAAGTTTGGCTATCATTTTTTTGATTTATTTTTTTCTTTCTTCTTTTTTAATCTGCCAACAACTTTGCTGTTTTATTCTTTCTGATTTATTCAATTTCCCTGGGTAAATCATCGTCACCATATTCTATCCCCGCTTAGTATTCGTCGGAATGGATTTAGAGAAACCAGCCGCTGCCTACAATCCAAACAAACCCCCGGTGCAGTCGTCGTTGACAAGGCTCCTCAACGAGTCTGGAAGCAACCAGGCTCTGCCGATCCCCTCCAAGAGCAACTCGCATGTTTCGCTCAAGCAAGTGTCGCAGGATACAAACTCCCTGGAGACGACGGACCAGCAGAAGGACCATCAACTACCCAAAGTGCTGGTGATTCATCCGGAAGATCAGTCACCCCGGAATGTTGCCCAAGCCGGCCAAGGCATTGGTGTCTCTCCAACTAATATCAAGCTGACTGGTACAGGTGCCGGCGGCAATCCAGTCCCAACAGCTATTAACACTGGAGCTTCCGCCACTCCTGTCGTTGGTGGATTCGAAGTGGCCTCTAATTCGCCTAAGACTGCAAACCGTCCTGTCTTTACTCACTCATATTCTTCGTCATCGGCCCCCCGATCTCCCAGAGTCACCAGAAATGGGTCAATAAGTCATTCCTCCTTCTACGGGCAAGAAAGTTTGTCTTCATCCATTCCATATAGTGCTCCAGGTGGTAGATCCACTAGCAACTTGTCAAGCTCGTTGACCGCAAACAACAACACCATTAATAATAGTTCCAATGCTAGCAACGGGGGCTCTACTGCCACCCTTACGGAATCTAAATCTAACGACTACACTCCCAACTTACCTAACGGACAACCAATCTCATCCATCCACATCCAGTCGCCTCAGGTTCATTCCTCAGCAATCGACTCTAGATTTGTCATCTCTAAGCAAAGGGTGGCCCAAGCGCAGGCACAAGCTCAAGCCAACGCCCTGTATGGATCAGCACAAAGATCTGGCTCTCAGTCGGGCCTCTCATTTTTCTTTTCTTCGAAGAACAAGAACTCCATCAAAAGAGATTCATCCAGCTCTACCGATTTAGGTTCATTTTATAATAATTCGTACCAAGACAACAACGTCAATAATAGCATCAACAATAACAATGATATAAATGTGCATTACAACAACGCTGGAGGTTCAGTCATTGCCAGCTCACCATCATCCATTTCTTCCAGTGATTCTAACTACTCATCGCAGTTTAGTGCTCCATCGAGACATAACTCTATGGCAAACTTGAAGAGATTCTTTAAGAAGAATCCGACCTCTCTGCAACCGGTTACGACTTCCAATTTATCATCTTCACTTCGTTCAACTAACGGTACCGCTGGTGGTGCAGGATCTAACCCTGGCGCAGTTCCTATTAGTGGAGCCTCAACCCCAACTCCTACAAACTTCCAATCAAGCTCATTCGGGCCTGGTAGTGGCTCTCTTACTGCAAGTTCATCATACGCTTCTTATTCGCAGTCGCCAAGCACCAATGGATTCACCGTTGGCTCTTCATCAATTTCCAGATCTTCATCTGTATTGCAAAATAAAATGAATTATCAGCAAGACAGAAGAGGATCTGTCTCAACTTTGATTAGTACGCAGCAATTGCCATTTTCAAAGAGGTACTCTAAATTTGGTGAAAACTTGGGAGCAGGAGCTGGAGGTGCTGTCAAGTTGGTAACAAGATTATCAGACAAGAGGGTGTTTGCTGTGAAGGAATTTAGAACCAAGTATCAAAATGAAACTAAAAGGGACTATGCTAAGAAGATCACTGGGGAATACTGTATTGGATCTACTTTAAAGCATCCCAATATTATCGAGACAGTGGAAATCTGTTATGAAAATGAGAGAATTTTGCAAGTGATGGAATATTGTGACTTTGACTTATTCGCTATCGTTATGTCCAACAACATGTCTAGAGAAGAAATCAACTGTTGTTTTAAACAAGTCTTATCAGGAATCAGCTACTTACATTCTATGGGATTGGCTCATAGAGATTTGAAGCTCGATAACTGTGTTATCGATTCAAGAGGAATAGTGAAGATTATTGATTTTGGCTCAGCTGTTGTATTCTCGTATCCTTTCACCAAGACCTTGATTGAAGCACAAGGAATCGTGGGATCTGATCCATACTTGGCTCCAGAAGTGTGTGTTTTCAATAAATATGATCCTAGACCGGTCGATGTATGGTCTGCAGCAATAATATACTGCTGTATGATGCTCAAGAAATTCCCATGGAAGGTGCCAAAGTTGTCCGATAATAGTTTCAAATTATTTGCGTCAGGTAGAAGCGAAATATTACCAATCAGCGAGGTGTTGAAAAGAACACCAGATCAGGCAGCTCCAGCTATGTTGAGTGCCGACGTGAATAATTTAAAGTTGGACGATATAAGCGAAACCGAACAAACGAACTCAACAAGTACTCCACCCAAAACCGTCGGCAACTCACCAACTAATTCTACGACCGAAGTCAACGGCAAGGCGCATACCTCTACAGAAACAGGTCCTGGTAGACTCTTATTGGCATTACCTGAAGATTGTAGACCATTGATTGGGAAAATGGTAGAATTAGCGCCAGCTTGTCGTATTACCATTGAGGAATGCATGACCGATGACTGGTTGCAATCGGTTCACATGTGTACTGTGGAAGAGAGATTACTGGCTGATGGTGCCCTTAATTATGAAGTACTTGCTGGTGGAGACCATATTCACACTCAAGTGGACCAGTCCAAGGCCCACATCGCTGCATTTGATAAGAATAAGAAGAAGTAGAGTAAGAAGAAACTGTTAAGAGAGGTATTGCTAGGGTGAAATTGTATAACAGATATAAAGAAAAAGACCAAAAAAAAGAACAGAAAACATCCCCCAAAAAAGTAAAAAAATAAACATCAGAGAAAAGTATCATAAGGAAGTTGGTAATGGCTGAAGAGGTGTGCTTGATGTGTATTCATATATAGTAATAAAGAAGAGACATAGTTAGAATTCAGTGGAGCGATGTAGCAGTTCGTAGTTATAATCCATGGTAGCAGTTCTTGATCTCACTGCCCTACAGAATAAATCAATGCTGAAGCATTTCATGTAGAAGACAACAGCATAAATTCAGAACACTCCTTCGATGTTTCTTCATCCCATAGGCGGGTTTGTAGGGTACTGCTATCCGTAGTGAATGGCTCTCGTTCTCGTTTCTACAGCCTACACTAAGCTTAAGACTACATTATGCTCCGTTATCTATTTTATTATGCTATTTACATGGTTTTAACATCTCTATCATTACATTTATGGGACCACCTTAACACCTACAGTTTCTGCATTCAGAATTACTTGACGGCAGATATTTTTCAAATCTAAATCGGCATGTCTCCCATCGGACTTCTTGATCTTGGCTATTTCATAGATATGCTTTAAAGATATAGTTCCTACAGTTTCCTTCTTAGGTTGTGCAGCCCCTTTTTCAGCTCCAGCTGCCTTGAGGATCAACCATGCGGTTGGGGGAGATTTCATTTCAAATGTGAACGTTCTGTCTGGCTTAACCGTTAACAAACATGGGATTGGGGTTCCTGGAGCGAAATTCGCAGTTCTGGCGTTGAATTCTTTACAGAAATCGATGGCCTTTACACCTTTGGAACCTAATGCGGGACCAACTGGAGGAGCAGGCGCCGCCTGGCCAGCACCAACAATCAACTTAACAAGGAGGTTCTTACCAGTTTGTGACATATTGTACAGTGTTGTAGGTGAATGAAGAATGGTGAAGGGAAATAAAAAAAAAAAAAATTGAAAAATTCGAAAACCAAAATCGAAAAATGAGCTTCGCTTATGTAAGCAGAGCTCTCCCTACGTAATGGCTGCAAATGGTGCAGTGCGAGGTAAAGACGGTGATGATAATTGGTTGAATTACCATATATCTCTATTCAAAGGCTAGAAGCTGGTAAAAGTGGGCTAAAGAGATGCAGCTGGAGAGAGAGCCGCTGTTAGATGCCTTCATTCAATTCTATGGGATTAAGACTTTGTCTGTGTGTATTATTACTAGTATTAGTCTAAAGTCATATGCTACATGTGAGTCAAGTTTACTGCTGTGAACTCTTGTTGAGGTAACTTTTGTTCTGATTTTTGGTTGCATTTGGTTGCATTCGATTCTTCCACTTCTTTCAACTACAATTCTTCAGTGAATCTTGAGCCCGAATTTCTTGTTTCAACAGGACCCCCAAATGTTGGTTGTCCAGGGTGTAGCAAATGTTCTTCCTCTATATCGATATCTGCGGGATCAAAGTCATTGGAATCCGCTCTGGCATGTCCCCTATTTACTGCAGAAGCGTAGGGATTCGCCGCTTCTTGCTCTTCGTGAGGGTACATATTCAGGAAGATAAAGTCCTGATTACCAGCGGGGTACGGGGGAGCCGCTGTAGTGTTGGTAGACGGAGTATCCATGCCATTAGCAAAGGAATTATACCGTGAATGTCGAGCAGTGGCACTGTTAGTGTTATTACCGCTCGTGTTCGTAGCGGAGGTTTTATTAAACATCGAATCCAAGTTATTACTATTGGTGACCCCTCTGTATTCAAAATCGTCGCTAGTGTTGGAATCGCCATCAACTTCCACTTTTCTTACTCCTCCATTCTCAATATCGTTGTAGCTAGCAAGTCCTCCTGCTCCCATCAATTGTGAGTTGGTCATTTTAGAACCGAAAAGCTTCTTAAAACCAAACCCACTGTTTCCTGAAGCCTCACCACGCTCTGTGTCGTCGTTGAAGTCCGGTGATTGGTTCACGAAGTTCTTGTTCTTCTTTCTTCTAAGGAAAAGGAAAAACACCACACATGCTGCAATAACAATGGTACCACCAACTGCACCCACTACACCTCCTATGACCTTCGCATTCTTACCTGAGCTGGAACCACTCGAACTATTAGCCTGTGCTGCTGTGGCAGCTGCGGTGACCACAGTAGTTCTTGTAGTGTTATCGAGGGTTTGGACAGACGTCCACGAAGTCAAAGATTCAGAAGACGACGAAGCGGAAGTCGTCGTTGGTGTGAAGCTGGACGATGAGGACGAGGAACTGGACGATGATGAACTGGAAAATTGTGAGGATGAAGTCGAGGTGGACTCGATACTCAGCGATGAGAACTCGAAGCTCAGCGATGTGGTGAAGAACGAGGATGATGATGAAGAAAATGTTGAGGATGACGAAAAGGACGACGATGTGATAGTTGATGATGGGATGAACGAAGACGACAGCGATGTGGACGATGGGATGAAAGATGACGAACTCGAGAACAATGTCGACGATGATGAAAATGCTGAGGATGAAGACGGGATCCACGACGACGATGGAATAGTGGACGATATTGTGGAGGACAGGAACTCGGACGACGAGCTTGGCCATGAGGATGTAGTTGAGGATATGGTGGATGATGGTATCCAGGTTGACGAAGACGCAGTTGACGATATTTGGATAGATGATGAGATATCAGTCGAGCTTTCGAGGGAAGACGACGACGGTACGACCGTCAGACTGGCAGCGGTAGGGCTACTCATTATGGAACTGGAATTATTACTACTGGGAGTATCGTCAGCTCGAATCAAAAGCAAATCCTTTAAAGACATGCTGTGAAAAAAAAAAAATCCCCGAGCGAACTCTTCGTCTATGTAGTATTCTAAATTTAAATTTTTCCTTGGAGGAGGAGTGGCTAAAGTTTAAAACAGGCACAAAAAAATATTTCTTATCGAGTGTCTGGTAGGGAATGAAATTGGGATGATGAGGGCCTGACTAGTTTAAATAGAAAGCGGAAAAGACTCAAACAGACGGTGGTTGTAAAAAGATGGAGTGCGCTGCAAGAAGAAAAGAAAATCTCGAACAAGAATTCAAATTCAACCGGTTGTAAAATGGGATCGATATGTGTTAGTTATAAGCCAATCCAGTTCACCAAGCGAAGACCCCCCCCTTAAATTTCTATAATTATCGCCCAGCTACGGGAAATTAAAAGAAAGGGAAAAAAGGTTGTTCGCACTAAATTAGTGCGTAGATGCGGCAATTCCCTAAGCAACCACCACTGCACGCTGCAGGATACGACAATTAAGTTTAAAGGTAAAAATGGCCTGCGCAACTCAGAAAGCGGTCAGGTGGGCTTCAGAGGTAGCTGTGAAGGGAAAGGAATCCAGAAGGTTATATAGGTATACAGGCGGCATCTCAGGGCCATTCTCTTTCTCGTTTCCGTTCCCCTTCTCGCTCTCATTCTCATTCTCATTCTCATTCTCGTGCTTGTTTCTTGTCGTCGTTCTCAAGGTCGTTTCGCTCATGCGTGCCTGGTATTTCGCCCGGCGGGATCGTATTTTCTTCCTGTTTGGCTTGAATTTGCGTTTATTTATAGCGGCTCCCGCAGGGCTCGGTTGCACCATGCTGCAAGCACTTTACGCTATTTACCTTTAGATCACACTTGAGATATAAATAATAATAGGAACATGAAGGCATCCCGGTGGCTTTAGAACAAGCTTTCTTCCGCTGCATCTTCCGACCGCCACTCTTTCTCTAGAAAGTGGTTCCTTTATACTACGTACATTCTTGACATTCAGCGGGCCGTGGTTGCATCCTTTTCTGCTCTCCTTCACCTTTAATTCTCAACTCATCTCATCACTAGATCCTTGGGTTTCCATGCAGGCCCGTAGTTTACCACTGATCACCATGCATAATTAAGGATACGGGTCCAGAAAATAAAGTCCTGGCCAACTAATAAGCTCTTGGAAAATATTCAATTACGAAGGTTGACTATTTCTTGACTAGCACATTTAGGCTACGGCTCATTGATGTGGTAAACTTATTTAATTAGTTAATTTTTGCTTCGATAGCGCGTGGTTTCAATACTGCAACTGTAAGTAGTACATCTTATCTTTGCTCTAATATTGTACTGAGCTGATATTTCAAAGGCTCCTTCATGGATGTATCAGATCTTTTTGTAGTAGACCAGCATGGCTTAGTCAACATGGCGCTGTACAGCACTTAATAGTCAATAACTACGAACTTGATCTGTAACTCTTGTAATAGTCGTAAGTATTATTGTACATCTGTAGACAATGTAAAGACATTGAAGAGAGGATATTAGTGACAGACATATAGCCAAAACTCACATGTTCATTGAATAGCTGTTCTTTCTGTGAATATACAGAAAGTGATAATTCTTTGATTAGGTAACGTTAACTTACTCTAGGTACACCGCTCTCTGGGCCAAGAACTTTATCAGGAGCCTTCATACTCTCATCTTGTTTCCCTGCCACCACTGGAATCCTTGCCTAACTAGTTTAAGCGGCTCACTTCTTGACATATTATTTTTCTACAATCCATTGCATCGAGTTCTGGATAACCACATCCACTACACTTACACTATCTACATTAAAAGTACGTACTATAACCTTTCATTACAACTTCCTTCGCTACTGCTCCCTTCAGTGCACTTCCTTCAGTGCGACTTCCTTCAATACGCTCGCTTCATTACGCTCTCTTCATTAAAACCCCACCATCACGCTCCCTTCATTAATACTTCCTTCATTTCAATTTCGTCATAACAGAACAGCCTGGAATCCTTTTCCTGCAACAACGCCAAGCCAATCTCCCAGATCTGCTCTCCAAGTAACATTATTTACCTCTAGCTCCGAATCGTATGCCAAAATAGGCATATCCAAGCCCTCAACTGCGCCTGCAGTTGACCCACCAGAACTAGGGAGTGAATTACAATCCCAAACTAGTGCCTGGCAATCGTCACCACCAGTCAACAAAAAGTTCGAGTTCGGATGCCATTTTATGGAATTAATGGCAGTTGAGTTGATTCCATCAAAGGATCCATCTAGTTTAGCCGCTGGGACTCCAGGCATTCTCATGTCTATTATAATCACTTGGTTGGAGTTTACTCCTATGGTAGCTAAGTGATGCTGGTCAACATTGGACGTGGACAACTTGAGTAGCGCATGTGAGTTGTGGTGTGGATAGTTCGCCAGATTACCATTTATAGCCTTATTGGTCTTGACTGACGGCATCGTGGAAGATGGTGGCTCGTATATAATCGTAGAGTGCTCTAATGACCTCAAATCAAATACTCTAATGGACCCATCGTTCCCGACAGATGCAAAAATGTTCACTGAATCGTGTATAAATTTGACGTCAAACACCTCTGAATCATGTGCGATAAGCTGTGTCTTTACAGACGCTGTGTCCATAGAGTTACTTAACTGATGTGATCTGTTCAAGTCCCATATCGTGCATGTAGTGTCCACTGACAGCGTTATAATTATAGAAGGATCAGTCTTGTTCCAGTCAAAGGAAGTTACGGGCGGGAAAGTGTTGGCATCGTCATTTTTACCAGTAGCATTGCTATTTGAGCTACTGCTACTGCTGTTGTTACTGTTCGACATTGACGTAGACTCCCCAGAGGAGTTGTTTGCATTATTGGCAAGTATGTGCGTTTGTTTTATCTTATACTCGCTGGGACTCTCAAGGTCATGATCTATTTGGTAAAGTCTGAATACCTCCAGCGAGGTGGCCAATCTCTCGACATTACTCAACCCTCTGGTCATGGAAGGATCCCATTGCAAGTGTGTTATGGGGTAATCGGTACCTATTTCACAGATCTTGTGGAAGTCAAACCCTTCCAAACTACCATCGTCCATGCTCGGAGAGCCAGGGGAGCCCAGTGCTAGACTTTCGCCCGCTAACTGTTCATCTTCGTAGTCGTATGTAGCTTCCCTTCCGTAACTCGCACCGTTGATTATCTCTAGCTTATTGGTGAAGTCTTCCTTGTATGAAGATAGAGCGATGCAGTCCTTCTCTACTCCTGCGTGATACACCCAATCGGAGCAGTTGAGGGGCAACAGCGAGAGATAGTACGAAGATTTATTACTATAGTTGTTACCGGTAGGTTTGGCGCTGATGTTACCATTTCCAGTCGCAGAACCTGTGGCACCTCCGACTGTGCCTGTACCTACAGGCCCACTAGCGCTGTTGCCACCAACGTTAGCACCCAATCCGTGTGCACCTGCATCGCTACTCCCTGCGAGGATTGGGTTGCTATTAATCGAATTGGGGCCGCCCGAGTAGTTGCTTCCACCATAGCGCAGTTGGCCCGTCGGGGTCGGCCTGGAGCTGGTGTACGACAATCCATACCCCTCGCTCCCGTATGGCACTCCTCCTGGGACAGAGCTTCGTTTTGATCTCATGCTGTACCAGTCCATCCTTTCACTTGGAGAATATCACTTATATCCAACCTACTGATGCCTTGTTAGTAATGGCAACTAGAAAAAGGGTGTGGAAAAATTTATGTGTAGCAAATTCATGTTTGTCCGGTACAGGAGCAAGTTTTGCTTTGTATGCACGACGAGCAGGAAGGTGAGGCTGACACAGTAGAAGATGGGCAGAGGGTTCGGAGAGCACAATCTGAGGATAGAATAGTTGGTACTAGTGTAGTTAATGATGAAATGTAACGATTTTTGGTACGTAGGCTGAATCCGGATAGTATTTCGGTTCTTTCTTGTCTGGTGGTATCTCTAGGTTGAATTTGTTCATCACCGCATCATGCCGCAGGACTGCTTATCTTAGTTAAGAAAAATTGCACCCAAAAAGTTGAATCGCTAAGTAGAGCAGTAGGTCGTTGGGAAACGACAGGTCTTCGGGCCAGACATGATAGAGCAGGTAAGAATAGGGTATAAGTGGCGGAGTGACATTAAATTAATCTGTTTTATTCTATAAATCAATATACATTATGTATTTTCTATTTTTAGTTGAATACTGAACAAGTTTTGCTGATTGCTCAGCATTTCTTTATTTTTGGGGTTCGAGCTCTACTCGGCTTGTGATGCAACAACTTCTTCCACTGAGGGACAAGTACACATCAAGTTCATGTCACCATATGTATCGTCAACTCTGGCAACCGTTGGCCAACATTTAGATACTTTTAAGAATGGCAATGGGTATGCAGCTTGTTCTCTAGAATATCCTCTAGCATCCCAATCGGCTTGAGATGTTGAAATTATATCTTGCAATGGATGTGGAGCATTTTTCAAGGCCAAACCCAATGGTTCACCCTTTGCGTATGCATCAATTTCCTTTCTAATTGCCAATAAGGAATCGACGAATCTGTCCAACTCTTCCAAGTTTTCAGATTCAGTTGGTTCAATCATCAAAGTACCTGCAACTGGGAAGGACATAGTTGGGGCGTGAAATCCATAATCTTGTAATCTCTTAGCAACATCAATGGCCTCTATTCCAACAGCCTTGAATTCTCTTAAATCTAAGATGAACTCATGCGCACAGTGCTTTAAACCTTCAGCTGCATCTGTATTAGAATCGATAAACATGATTTGATAAACATCCTTCAATCTGTGCAACATGTAGTTGGCATTAAGCATGGCAAGAGATGAGGCGTATGGTAATCCCTGAGATCCCAACATTTTTATGTAAGAGTAGGAAACTGGAATAACCGATGCTGAACCATAAGGAGCTGAGTTCACAGCTTCAATGGACTCCTTGGTTGAATGAGGAGTCTTAACGAAATGATGCTTTGGTAAGAATGGCTTCAAGTGTTCTTTGACACAAACTGGCGCTTGACCTGGACCACCACCACCGTGTGATAATGCAAATGTTTTATGGATATTTAAGTGACAGACATCGGCACCTAAATCTCCGGGAGATGTCAAACCAACTTGAGCGTTCATATTAGCACCATCCAAGTAAACTTGTCCTCCGTTTGCATGAACAATCTCAATTGCTTCTTTTACGCCTGGCTCGAATAAACCATAAGTGGATGGATAAGTAATCATGATGGAGCAAAGGTTTTCAGCGTGCTTAGAAGCCTTGACCTTCAAGTCTTCGATATCAATTGAACCATTGGACAAACACTTGACTGGAACAACCTTCAAACCACACATAGCTGCTGAAGCTGGGTTAGTACCGTGGGCACTTACTGGAATAAGACAGATATTTCTTTGCTCATATTCGCCTCTTGATGCATGGTATTGTCTGATCAAGGTGAGACCGGTGTATTCACCCTGAGCACCAGAGTTTGGCATAGAGGTGGTGGCATCGAAACCAGTGATGTCATTTAAATCCTTTTCAAATTCGTCAACCAATTCCTTGTAACCTTGAGCTTGATCAATTGGGGCAAATGGATGAATTTGGTTGAATCCAGGAATGGATAATGATTGCATTTCAACAGTAGCGTTCAACTTCATGGTGCATGAACCCAATGGGATCATGGAGTTGGCCAAGGACAAATCCTTACTCTGCAATAAATGTAAGTATCTTAACATAGAAGTTTCTGAGTGATGAGTGTTGAAAACTGGATGGTCTAAGATTTCATCTGTTCTGAGTAAATCTTCATTAATAGAAGGTAATTCAGCTTCAATGTTAATATCGTACTTAGTATTTCCCGTGAATAATTGGACCAAGGCGACCAAGTCTTCCTTGTTAACAGTTTCATCAAATTGTAAGGAAACTGTGTCATTGCTGACTTTGAATAAATTAATTTCGTGCTTGGTTAAGGCTTCATTTAAAATTTCATCTGCAGTAACACCTCCGCCTAACTTAATAGTGATTGTGTCGAACCACTTGGAATTGGTGATTGTGTGATTTGAGTTTTCAATGATTTCGTTGGCCAAAATAGTAGTAATTCCATATACTCTCTTGGCAATATTCTTCAAACCTTGAGGTCCATGGTAGACTGCGTACATGGCAGCCATGTTAGCCAATAATGCTTGAGCGGTACAAATGTTTGAAGTTGCCTTTTCTCTCTTGATATGTTGTTCTCTAGTTTGAAGAGCTAATCTTAATGCTGGGTTACCCAATCTGTCCTTGGATAAACCAACAATTCTACCAGGAATCTTTCTCAGGTATTTAGTGTTGGTAGCGAAGAATGCAGCATGGGGTCCACCGTAACCGAATGGAACTCCAAATCTCTGCGAGGTACCCAAGGCAATGTCAGCACCAAATTCGGAAGGAGGCTTTATCAAGGTTAATGCTAACAAATCAGTGGCAACTGCAAGTAAACCCTTGTTTGCGTGTACTACTTCACCTACTTTGGAGAAGTCGTCAATGGATCCGTCTGTACCTGGATATTGAACCAAGGCACCACAAACATCCTTGGAAATCTTTTCCAAGTCGGTCAAACCTTGTGGAGTGGAAAGTGGTAATTCTACGATTTCCACAGCAATGTTAGAGGCTCTCGACTTGATGACTTCGATGGTCTGTGGGTGCAAGTTAGAATCCACCACGTACTTGGATTTCTTACCCTTCAAACTGTGAAAGGACAAGGACATGGCTTCACCGGCGGCTGTACCTTCATCCAAGAGAGAAGCGTTGGCCATAGGTAAACCAGTTAACGAAGTAACCATAGTTTGGTAATTTAAAAGGGATTCCAATCTACCCTGAGAGATTTCAGGCTGGTATGGAGTGTATGAAGTGTACCATTCTGGAGATTCTAATAAATTTCTCTGGATAACAGCAGGCACTCTGGTACCGGCGTAACCTTTACCGATGAAAGATTTCACAATCTTGTTCTTTCCAGCTAATTCGTGTAAGTGCTCAAGCATTTCAGATTCTGAGAATCCCTTTTCTGGAGAAACTTGCAAGGCTCTCTTAATAAGAACATGTTCTGGGATGGCCTGGGCCAAGAACTCGTCTACGTCGTTGTAACCAAGCGTAGAAAGCATCTTCTTCACATTATCTGGGGTTGGTCCAAGATGACGTCTGGCGAAAGTGTCCAATTTGTGCAAAGAAACAGTAGATTCAGCTTCATTATAGATCTTTTTGTAGTTTAATGACGAGGTATCGGCCTGAGTAGCCAAAAGACGCGCTGAAGCAACTGATAAGCGTGCGCCTGATCTAGCAAATGTGCTGGCAGGGTATGCTCTGATCGATCTAGAAGCAGTTCTTGCTATTCTAGAGGAGATCATGTTAAAATATGTGTATGATACAAATGAAAACGGTTCAAAAAAAATGCCTTTTCCTTCGGAAAACAACCGTGGTTATTTGTTTGCTTTTATATGAAATGTCTTAATTCTTGAAATTGACTCTTCTCGGGCCCTCTATATTTTTTTTTCCTTATCTGATCGCACGATAAGTGAAAGGTGTAGAGAGGCGGATACTGCACGCTCAGGTCGAAGGTGTAGTTGTAGTTGAAAGAGGGAAGGCGATGGGATAAGCTCGGTCTATAAGCTTTCTAATGAGTGGTTCCTTGCGCTTGAAAAGAGAAGAAGAAAAAGAATTACTGGCTGCTAAACTAAGATACCACTCCAGGTTATATATATATGGGATTGGGATCGATGCCCTTGGATTGACTCGGACTGACTCGGTTGTACGGCTCCTGTATTCCTGGTGCTACTTTAGCGCCAGGCTAAAGGAAAAAAGAAAATTAACTTTGCGCCTCTGGTTCAGCGTGGGTCCGTCAGGCGCTCTTGGTTGTGAGCAGCACAACTTGTAGTACTTTATACAGGAGCAGAGGAGCATCCGTTAAACCGTCAACTGGAGTGTTGCTTTATCTTCTTGCGATGAACTCACACTCTGCGCACGCATCTTCGCGACGCATGTGATTTGAAAAGTCACGCTGAGTCAAAAAGAATTGGATAAGGATAAATGCAAAGAGGTACTACACGGTGGGCTGCTAGAGTCATATTATTACTTATTCTGTCAGGTCGTATAAAATGTAACACCAGCAGATACATCAGCTTGTTCATTTTCACTCCTGCTGCTTACATTCCCCAAGATGGTGGCAGTTAATTTCCGCTGCACAATACCGAGTCTAAATATTGACCTTGTTCTGACTGCGATTCATCGAAAATCATCGCACATGCATCACGTGACCTGGATTTTGGATTTTGGATTTTGGTTCCGTCCATGGCTGCAAATTTAAACCCAGAGTTAAGCGATCTACGATAGCTATATGTTTCAGCCCATCCATCCATCTGAACCACAAGACGGAATATTCCCATTCATGGCACTTGCTCCTCCGCTCAAGGATCCCGAGCCGTCAACGCCACAGGCACTCACAGCAGACCCACAGAGAACACCTCTTCCAGGACCATTGTTTCCACATTCACTGCTTCCGCAGGCCGCACCGCTGCACCCACCGCCATTTCCCTCCGGTCCTGAACTAATACAGGCTCCAGGTCCCCAAAGCTCTGTATTTTGTTGATTAATGGGCGCAATAGGAGATATCACAAACATCCCGTCGTAGCTTGCTCTTTGGTGGGTATCGTCTTTCCACGGGTACTGCTCGTTGGGCTTTTGGTGATAGGCATCGAAAAGTAATTCCCTGTTCTTGCTTCCTCGGTTGCCTGGCCATTCGATGTAATTGTGAGTAGAAATGTGAGTAATTCCAGTTTCATTATCCCAATTGAAGAGCCAACTAGTACTGTACAACTTAACCTCATCCTTTTTCTTTCCAAATACCTTCTTCTTCTTCTTAAATTTCTCCCTGGTTGCAACACAGTACCAACAAAAGCAAATTGAATACGGCTCTTTGAATTTGTCGCTGTACAACTTTGCAGTCTTCTCAAAATTCAGTGATAATCTTGATTCTTCGATCTTGTCGTTATGGTCTATTATCATCTTAGCTTTACTGCTGGTGCATTTCTCTAGATAGTAGAAGGTTGACAACATGTGAGTGTGCCAAAACATATCTATATCTAAAGTTGGTACTACTATTTGATTCTTCTTGTTCATGGTCATCAATTGGAAAAATCTATCATATCTAACTGATGATTCCATTAGGGAGTTTCCCAACATAGGTGACTCTAATAAGTTAATTTTGTTCATCTTTTCAATAAATCTCTGTTGTCGTAAGATGCATCCAACAAGATCTTCAGTTATCATAACCAAAGTTGTCATGTTCAGTACTCCATCGGAGTACGTATTAAGATTTGCCGGAATTGAATTATGGATTAAATTCATTTGTAGATAGTGCCTTAAAATATTCTTTATTATTCTTGAAAATTTTGGAACACTCCATAATTTCTTTATAAATTCAATTACTGAAGTTCCTTTCCACAGATCGAGGCTCTTTATTAGATGTTTACAAGCAGCGCTAACACCGTACTCTTTACCTTCATCGAACATGCCCGGATGCAATTCATTCGAAAAGTATTTGTATACATTAGGTAATATAAGATCATGGTCCAGCAGTGCCACATCTGAGTACATTTGCAACGATCGTAAGGTATCATGGTTTATAATGTGCACATCTAATTCTTTAAGACATGGGCATCTCACTTCTGGCGTTATAGTAAAATTTTTATCGGAAAATCCAGTTCCTTCAATATTGGTATATGGAGTTCTATTAAGTGGAGAGTGGCACATTGGACAGTAGACTGTTAGACTCATGTCAAGAATTTCCCTCAAAGTCACATCATACTTAAGGCTCAAACTTTGTGCTGCGCTTCTTTCATGGGTAGCATCAAGTTTATTCATAAAATTTGAAGTTATCTCTGTGAATGTTTGGATGTCGGAATCCCTAGGTAGATACTCGAAAGTATCTTTAGATATTGCATCACTGATTCTTTGTAATGGGAATGGGAAGTATGCAAAATCCAAGACCGAGTTTCGGGCGCACTCGTCTAAGAATGATTTAGGGTTCAATAGGAATGAGTGCCATACCATTAATATATCCAAAGGTAGGAGCAACTTCTCCAATGGACAAAAATATCTGACACCATCTTCAAATTCATAGACTTCAAGCTTTTGTTTCAAATCAAGTGGTCTCAGGTCTCTGTAAGCACTAATGAATAAGATGAACCTCCGCACGGCATTAGTGACGTACACTTGCCAGAGTTTATTCTTGTCAATTTCGCTTGGAATGTTCTTAGTAATACTTTCGTAGAGCTTTCCAAATGCCCTCAACAACAACAAATGGGCCGTGGTCTCTGTTAAAGTGGGCATTCTGCTTCTTTCCCTTAATATCCATGCGAAACTAGAGTATTCATTCTTGTCTGCATTGGAAAGTATGACACGGAACGGAAGCGTCTTATGTCGCTTTGAATTGGCTGAGCTCATCGTATTCTCTTTTGGCGAACAAACAAAGCAAGTTCGTAAATATACTGTAAATCCACAGACGTCAATCCATCTTTATACCTTTACGGGAATAAGCACATCCTCGTCAATGCCATATTGACGTTATTTCATATTGAAATTGATTAATATTAATGAAACTAGTGCTAAACTTTAAACTGGACAAGGTGCATGGTGAAAGCTATGCGGCTCCGATCAAGGTACAATGGCTCAACGGCAACCTGTAAGCGGCACAATTGACTATTTTGAGGTTTGATCAGTGAGAATATAGATCATAGCAGCGCATTAAGATGAGAATACAATACAATTCAGTCAAATACACATATCTTGGTAAGTACTAGTGAATACATGCAAAGTTACCATCTTCTTGTAGCAAAATATTACTCTGTCTTTTAATCTTGCGAGGGAGCACATTCTCTAATCCACACTCTAGCCCAGTCATAGACCGTCTAGAACGTTAGCGCCGTTGGACAGCTGAAAAAAATGATTAGCACTCGTGTGAACACTGAAAACGTGGGCCCGGCCCTAAAATGCGAACGATTATCTACTTTAGCGAAGTACTGTCCGTTCAAGTAAGTATATTAAGGCCGTGAATAAGGTTGCATGGTGGTCCAAATAGGTAATTTTGCACTTCGGAAAGTGGCCAGTGCAGATAGCAGGGCAATGAACAGCAACCCCATAGGCCATGCCTGAGATTTCTTAGTCTTTGGTCTTTGGCGAGTTCGGCGCTTTCTTTCAATGTGCGCAAACTTTAATTCTAGATTGGTAGCATATGCTTTAGCAGGACTACGTTGCAGAAGTATGACAGCTGGGAGAAATATGTAGGTTACGTGTAGACATGTAGACATATAGGAACTTGAGTATTTCGTTTCCTGGCTACTGTTCAGCAAAATAAGCTTTTAGGTGTATATTCGGAGAGCCTGGTAGCTGGGAGCAGGACTCATGATAATCCTGGACATTGTCAGAAGTGTGAGCAACCTCTTTAGCTTTCTTCAGATCTCTTCAAACCCCTTTGGCTCTCTTCGGCTTTCTTCAGCTCTGGGTTCCATTCATCTATTACCCTTTCATCCTGTTCACCATCCAAGTTGTGAGTATCTCTCCCTAGCCAACATATTGCTATTCACACCCCTACCTTCTTCTTTTTCTCTAACCAGTTCCTCTGCGCTACGCCTTCTACAAAGTCTACAGTTCTATGATCATTTTTCAAAACATACATTTTAAAACTACACTTCTATCTTTTTAAAAACTAACGTACATTTTAAAGGTAATCTACTTACAAAATTAAACTTCAAGCTTATTTCTTAGCAGCCTTTTGAGCAGCCTTGGTAACCTTACCAGCCTTTTCGGACTTGTCAACAGACTTGATGAC